ATCATTCAAGTTGAACCATACGGATCCCCCCCCCCCCATACGACTGCGGAAGAAAAGTATTATTCCACCACTTTTTTCCAAAGGGCGGTTTTTAAAAGGATTTTTGTGTTTAAGAGTTTGCACTACCGTGAAAAGTTACACTGTTTTGTTTTTCCATCTTTTAATGCACATTTCCAATATTAGAACTATTATTCTTTTGGAGATGAGACTCAATTCATTTGAAAACACTTTCAGAAATTATAACCGACCTTCCAGAAATATTTAACATGCATGGCATGTGGGTTTATATAAAAATGTAATGACACAATTCTTCCCAGACTTTAAGAGATACATTCAATACTGCTCTACTAAGAAAAGTTAGTTCTAGCGAAATTCCCTTTTGGTTTTCAGATTTAGTTTCTATTACATTCTAGAGATGAAGCAAGCACAGGACATGTTTTATTGTAACAGTTTCTGACAACTGCTTGTGCTGGGAGATAAGCACAGAATGAAGGGGGTTGTAACATTCACCAAAAGAACAGCTATGAAGAGCACAAATGGGAATCAAGCTTGTACGATAAAAGCAATTATGCTTTTAATACAGCAGTGGGTTCCACTGGTGAACTAGTACTGTAGTTCAAGTTGCTATATTTGGTTCTTTCATATTAACTTGAAAGAAAAAACAGAAGCTATTTTTGCAAGATACACTGTGGCTCTGTTTTTGGCTCTATTACATAACAAAAATTCTACATACAAAAATAGACTAAAATAAAGTGCCCCTTTAGTTTATATGCTGCATTAAAATACTTAATACTGTAAACCTTATAATTATTTTAAAATCCTACTTTAAAATTGAATTCTGGAAATTCCCTTTTTCCAAGCAATGTTTTCCCTAAAGTGCAGATTTTATGTACAAAAATACTGTAACACTGCTTTACCATTTAACACCAGAGTAACTCAAAAGGCACACATCATACATTCAAGAAAAGATAGGAAGAAAAAGTAGCAATACTAATTCAAATAGTTAGCAGATGTACTGTAGCACCAGAAGATGAGCACTCAAGTATTATACAAGAAACAGTACAATGGTGCATATGGCTTCTACCAACAGAAATGAACTTGTGGAACAAGCTAGTTTCAGCTAGTTCCCATTCTAGGAATATTTTGGAAGACCAACTGTACCTTGCAAAGCAATATATACATTCTCTCAGTAGCTCAAACCAGCCAGGTATATTTAAATTAGAAATGTTGATGCCATTAGCAACACTAGTAATCATTTATGAACTGCATTACTAAAGCAGAGAAATAGGCAGTTGGCTTCACTCTGAAGACAGCAAACTCGTACATCGATATTTACCCTCACAGAGCTCCCAGCAAACATACAATTGTCTTGAAAATCCTTATTTTCTTCTAGAATCATAATTTTGGAAAAGAAGGGTTCTAAAATAAGGGCAGTGCAGATAATTCAACATGTATATGCAGTGAAAAAGACCTGCCTCCTCTACGACCACGTAAAGCTATCATACCTTGCGACAGCAGAGACAGGTTTTGTGCTCACACTTACACAACCCTTCTAGCAGCCTAGCTGACATTAACATTTAAAACACTCAAATATTTACTTCAACTTTTAAAAGAGACTTTAGCAAGTAAAGAATCGAGGAGAGCAGAGCTATGCTATCCAAAGATACAGCAAGATCTCCTGGCTGGGACACTGTGCTACAGCTTGTGGCCTGACTGTCAAAAATTACTCTAATGATACCCTCCCCCTGATTTTGGTCAAGCTCTATCCCTTGTGGCAGCGCTACTTTCCATTGTCAATCGCGCCTGTTTACAAGGATCAGATACTATCCGTAAAATATCTGGATCAGATGGTATCAACTGCAGTCTCTAGATTCTACTGTAATACAAACTGATAAAAAGGTCAAGATATTTTCAATGAAAGACTTATCCAGCTTTTTATTTCACCTACCTAATTGAAGAATCTGTCTAAAAAATATTTTAAACAAGACATCAGGGAAAATAGTCTCCCCCATCTCCAGTTTAAACACATTCGTATTTTCACTTAAGTAGTGCCTGTATTTGTTATGAATGAAACATTTTACTAAACATTTGTAACATTTAGTAACCAACTGAGGCTTTTTGTACAAACAATAGAAACACATTTTTTGGTTTATAATAATTTTGGATTTGTGACAGGTCAATTAAATGACCTAAAATATCCATTTATGATTTAGCAGAGAGCTTTTGAATCAAAATACCTACCTCCCTTAAAACAAAGGCATTTTACTACTTCAAAGGGATAGTTATTATTTTTACCTCTTAAAATAAAAATGAGGAGACTCAAATACTTCAGTACTTGTTACCTTCAGCCTATCAGTGAAGCAGTATGCATTATATCAGAAAACAGCTGTACATTCAAAATGGCCAAAGTGGAAATAGGCTTTTTTCATATACGTAGCCTGCTGCATTTTCTGAGTGGAGAATTCTTCCTCATTTAAGCTCATAATCAAGTATATACTTTTAAATTATCTGTTGCTCTGCCAAAGAAAGCATTGGAATGTCTGAGTGTCTATAGTACTTTTATAGTTTTAATTTGAATTTCCTAGAAGATTTGTTTAAAAATAAATTTGAAAAACATCTATTTTTAAGGAGAAGCTAAATAAATTGGGTTTATTTTATAGAGTTCATCTGGGATACTGACATGAGACTTAGTGTTGCCCCTTGAGCATATTCCAGCCCCAATCTGGTAAAAGACAAAAGCACACATAGTCCTTATGAATCAGTGGAAAATACATAAGGGCTTTATAGGAGTGAGCAAAGAGTACTCAGCACTCAGCCTTAAAAATAAGGTTTGCCTTTCACTACTGCCAGGTATAGCGGTGTGTTTTTAGCTGTCTAACTTGACAATCAAGTGTGCTTTCATTATTGATATTTGCATGAGATTAAATTAGGTTCCTATGGAAGCATACCACAACAGAAGAAATGGCTTGCATAAATATCACATCAGAACATAGTGTAAATTGGGACTGAGTGCCTAGGAATAAAAGTTGCACATATTAATTAAATATAATTTGGGTTTTTTTTGTACCAGTTGGCTCAAATGTCTGCCAATTCTTTTTTTTTTTAATCAAATGGTAAGATACTATGCATACAAAAATACATACTTAAGAATGACTGTTTTGTTTCTTATTTGTATCTTAACAAATAAAAACATTTAAAAATAAAATTTGAGGAAATAATACTTTCCTATTTTTGTCTGGAGTTATTTTGAAATATTTGATGTACATTTTTACATTGGTGTGCAAGCATTTTTTTCTTAAAAAAGAAAAGGAGGACCATTCCACAGGAAGGAGAATGGTATCCGGTAATAAGATGAACTCCTCAACTGTCTCTGAGCAAGCCGGGTCAGAAGGCTGCTATTAAATAACGTCAGGTAAATCCTAACATTACGTGAATTTCAATGGAACATCAATAGGAGAAAACTGTGGACGACTGCCAGCAAAACAGGTTGGTAATGGCTGTAGTAACATACACTACTATAATAACGTACTTTAAACACTCTCCTTTTAGGTCCCCGAAATAATCTGACAAAGTCACACCAGTGAATTTCAATGAAGCTTTAACATGTGTCGGTTGTTTATAAAAAAACATTATTGTATGAAGCTGTCTTAAATTTCCCTCAGATCTTAAGAATCTAACTGTAAACTGATAAATTCCTGAATACACTTCTTGTACTGCATTTCGGTATGGTTATTAGTAGAGTATTGACCTGGCTGTCCATAGAGTCCTTCCGATTCACGCATTTCTTCATTCATCCTTGCTAAACGCAACCTATGATTTAGGAAACAAAAAGAACAATGTCATCTTTAAAGCACCGAAAAAGACTGCAATTCAAGACCTACAATGCACTCCTGAACCCCACACCAGTGAGGTCATCTATGGATAGTGCACTCTCTTTGATTTTTCTTTTGCTCTCCCTGTTTTTATGTAAAGGAATTTTGACATTTCTTATATGTTTAACTTGAAACAGAATAGGAAAACCTAGTTAGCTAGTCAAAAACAGAACACACAACTTACAATGTTACAATATCTGCATTTGCAGCTTCTACTGCTATACTCAATGGATCTTTCCCATCTTCATCAGTGGCATGCTGGTTTGCTCCTCGTTTTAGGAATAAACACACTTGTCTGTTTAGAAAAAGCATTTAAGAATAATTTTCACAACAATAAAGGAAAAAAGCAAATAAATTCAAGGTGGATGCAACATATTTGGCTTATATCACCAAAAGTCTCTTGAACATATCAAAACAGCGCTGTTCACGTAGAACAACTAAGACGTTAACACAGTAGTAAGCAAAACCTTTAATTATTTAATGCACATTAGAAAGATAGCCTAACTCAAATCACGCTTGTGCAGCAAGGAGTTGAACCCTTTAGAAGCGAGACTCTACCTTCCTGTATCATCTTAGGTTGTAGAACCAAAAAAACCTCATCCCTTTTACCATGACAGACAGGAACGACTGAGCAGGATAAAACAATACAGGAAAGAACACAGTTCACAGGTGCCTGATTTACCCAATAGAAACTGATCTCATTTTTCTCTGCTATTACAATTCTTCATCTTTATAAACAGGGCATACTGACTAAGCTTACATCTTAAACTCTCCCAAGTTGTTGCACTCTATTCAGAATTCATGCATGCAAAGAGTTTGGGCACCACCAACCAGATTATTATGTCCTCATTTGAACTGAGCTGATACAGGGTTTCAGTTAAAAGCCATGATTCCAAAACTCAGGATGTAATGCAGTACATTTTGAAATGAGATACACTCTCAGTGCAACACACAGGTGGGATGTCAGAAAAAGCCTTGACCCTCACACATCACTATTTCTCCTATTTGTATCATATTTCTTAAGAAAATGAGAAAAATCTCATGAGTCTTCACCAAAAGTTCATGTTATTTCAAAGCATTATTAAATACATGTTTTTACAAAATGGACCAAAGTGTGTTTATAGATGCATGCTTTGCTAGCGGATGAGACTGCTAATTCAAAATGTTATTTCCTCTCTCACCACAGAAGTTTAAGAAAAACCTAGATCACCTGAAATACATTAAAATGCCAGAATGTTTGGGGAAATGAAGAAGCTTCACATTAACAACTATAGTAAAGGATGGCCATTTACAAATTCTGGAGCAGTGAGTTACCCAGTGTGTCCTAGAACCGTGGCATGGTGCAGGGGTCCTCTTCCTTTCATGTCTCTGATGTTCACATTGGCCCCATTCTGCAGCAAGAATTCACAAGTAACCAACGAACCCTACGGAATAAAAGCAAAGAAACAATTCAGCACCAGATCTCTAGAATAAGAGCCAAACCTGTTCTGCCTTCTCACCACTGAATCATGTGGCAAAGGAAACAAAAGGGATTTGCTTCCATATCAAATTTAAACACTACTAGGTTATATAATTCCAAACAAAGCATTAACAGGAAAAAAATAGTTCAGAAACAACTTTGAGAGAACATTGTAAACACAACTTCAGCATCACATTATCATTCATTAGCAAAGCAAGCAGTTCAAAAGGAACAGTGACACAGAAACATCCCTATTATTCCCCTTCCCCTCCTCTCACGTCAGTCGGTGCTGTATATCACATACCCCTCGCACGGCCTGAATGAGTGGTGTTGCTTTGTTTTCCTCTACGTTGACCCAGTTTACTTCAGCTCCATGGGCCAATGCTTCTGCCATATCAGGAAGATTCTTCTCAAAGGCAGCTCGATACAGCTGCAATCCTGGACTAGGCTGTTTGGAGTCATAGAACACAGAAGACTCTTGCTTGTCTCCTTCTGAAAAGAAAAAAAAAATTACTTATCTGTAATCCCTGTTTTTATAAGGTACCTCCTGGAATTCTGATCAAAAATGTAATTTCTCTGGCATAAGGTAGCTCAGGTTTTGCAGAATGCTGTGCATTGTTGCCCTATTCTGCCAGGAGAAGTCACAGATGCCTTTAGCTTGTTCCAGCATTCAGGCACAGCCACTTCACAGAATTATTACTGCGCAGAAAACTTTCTCTCCACATTTCTGGCACGTGTGAATATCCTTCAATCTACCTATTCCATGTCATTTCTAAGAAATTATTTTAGGTTAAAGTGTGTTTTAGCCTATACTGCAAGATATGAATAAAACTAATTTCCTGCAGAGATGTAGTCATACAAATATATCTTTATCTGTGACAGCTTGATACACCTGAATATGAGGCTAATACTGTTCTGACCTCATTTTTGTTAAAAGACACCACTGTCATTTACCAGTTACTCGCTGTGGCTATAATCTTTTGGACTAAAGCATAATCTTTCTTTTCATCTCAATAAGAGTTATAGAGAGCGAAGTCTGGGAGATAAAGATATTGTTATATATAAGCTTTCATGAGTTATAGCATCATCTTTCTACAATGCAGTCAAAGAAAGGATCCAAGCCACATGCTGCTTGCCTACAAACCACAGCTATGAACTACTGGATTTAAAACATACCTCAGAAGAGTGCTTTGATGTAGAAGAATACTTTTGCTTTACAAATAAATGTTTTGGATATTTTGACAAGCCGTACTCAATACATCAGTCAGCCCAGGATGCTAATATTAGATAGCAAATAATTTCATCAATCAATTTAGAAAACTTTGAGTAAAGAGGGGGTAATGTTTAAGACACGGTCAATTCCACGTAAGTGGAAAACAGAAAAGTTAAGCAAGAACGCTCAAATAACACATAAAAGCTTATTATCTGTGACTTAACAGGAATTCCATCTCCAAGGATTTAACTATTTATAAGAGGATTATGCATTTCTGTGGAGACTTGTCTGTATCAAAATGCAGCATCGCTCTCTGCTAAAAAACAAAGTTCTGGCTTAGTATCATCTGACTGGAAAAAAACGTAGTTGTCTAAACTCATTCAGAAGGATTCAGTGTCATTCTTCCTACCAAGCCTGGAGGAGAGAAAGGTCACTCAAGCAATTATTACCCTTGTTAAAAATATTTCAGCCCACCAGGATAGAAGAGACATGAATCGTATCACCAAGTACTAATCTCTTTGGTAGGAGCATGCTACCAAGAAGCGATTAAATTTTCATCTTAAAGTGCAAAGTCTAACGCACCTGGTTCATACAAACTGTTAGCTGATATAGTAGAGGCAAGGTGTTCTCTGCTGTCATCAGCACTCTGCTGGATCCCACTGTCACTGCTTTGTACTGTTTTGGGGAGAAACTGTAATTACTATGCAGACCGTAAGTTACCTACTCTTCACAGATACCATGATAATAAAGCAAGCTCTTATACTTGGTCCTGAATACATTTTTTTTTTTTAAAGACTAGTAATTATTCAATATTCTTAACATATCCATAGAAAAATATGAAGTCACATATTGCAACCACAACATTTATAATAAGAATAATAATAATAGATGTCAAAGATTATTAGAAAGGAAAAGATCAGGATAAGTAAAAAAGCTTAAATTATTTCATGAAAACACTAAGCAATGCAGTAGCCTGGAGACAATGGATTAAAGGCAGGGAGATGGCCACAACACACAATGGATCACTAGTGCAAATACTGAACACGCCATAGCTGTAGTACTTACTACTACGTAGTTTTGAAGAGGTATCAAAGTAGGAGAAGAGTGAATCTAGTTCATCAGGACAGAACAGAGACTCCCGCCTCGCCTCGTCGCTACTTACAGCAACCGCTGGGACATGCAAGTTAGCAAAGCACAAAGCAGGCAGTAAGGAAGGGATAGGGCAGGAAAGAACGTTATCGGAAAAATTAAGAAGGATGAAAATACGGAGGAAAGAAGGTCGTTAATATGTTTCTGAATGATAAGCATCCCACTCCAAATTCTTCCCCACCTAAAAATGCACATCTCTGAACAAGTCTTTTGTCCCCTATGCTTCTGAACGAGGCTATGACCCATTAAAAGACAGATTCCGATTTCTCTGCATGAGGCAGGAAATCAATACATACAAAAAAGTGTTACTTTAAAAAGAACATGTGTAACATAGCTAAGGAGAGAAGCGTGTAAATACCTTTTTGGGATGCCGCACCTTGTTCCCCTGCCGAAAGGGGTTTTTCAGGGGCACTGTGCCTTTTCTCTTCCTGACTTTGAGGCAAAACTTTTGTTCCAGATTCAAGCAGAGATACTGATGCAGGCTGCTTTTCTACAAACTTTCTTTCCACATATTTTGCTCTGATGTATGCCTCCTTCTCCTGCCTGTCATACACAAAATCCCTGGAGTTAGTAAGCTAATATCTTCATATATTAAAAGAACATCCATTTCATACTAAAGCCAGTAACCAAAACTGTAGTTTGGCATTGTACATAAGACACACTTACGACACGTTTTCAGAAAGATGAAGAGCACACTGTCTAATTCTTTCTGGATTCTTGATTAAATTTTGCATAAGGGTCAAAAGAAAGTAATTTTCTTAAATTCACATATGTATATTTTCTTTCAGGCAGAGACTTTACAAAGTGGTGTGTGGAAGAAATAAGCATTAGCTACTGTATGTTACTTAGAATAGAATAGACTATTTCAGTTGGAAGGTACCTACAACTATCATCTAGTCCAACCACCACTTCTTGGTATTAGTCCTTTATACATGTTTTACATCGTTAATAACCAATTAATATAGCAAATATTTAGTTTCTTAGGTAAATATAAATTGCAACATTTGTTAAAGGAACATCAAGATTGCACAAGAGAACCATAACAATAATAAGCCTCAGGTAGGCACAGCCACCAGTTCCATAATGCATACTGAAATATTTTTTCTTGTAACCTGAGGTTATCATCTTAAGACACACACACCAGTTGTGACAAACTGATGAAAGGGGCTATAAAAGTATTACTATTGAAATTGCTGAAAAGCAGTTACCACTAGAAGGAATATCTAGCAAATCTCCTACATTATTTATATTATTATAATTGTCTCCAAATGGCTAACACTTTTATCTAGCAAATCTCCTACATTATTTATATAATTATCTCCAAATGGCTAACACTTCATAAAACGCTGTTTTCTATACCATAAAACTGCCTGACAGCAAGCAGCACAGAACTGGAAAGCTGTTAAAAAAAGTTTTAAAAAGACATCTTATACAGCAGAACAAAGCATTAGGAAACTACCTTCAAATACAAATTAGCATCAGAGAAATGGAAGGCAGAAGTACAATCATTAGAAGGTTGCTATAAAGCAGCAGAGCTCATGTACGATGTAGGCAGAAAGAAAAGAGCATTCTGGGGATCAGGGAACAAAAGTCAAACTCAAGAACAGTCACTGAAAACAAAAGGCACAGCCACAGGCTCCTTCCAGGAGCAGTCACAGACCAAGTACAGCTGGCTGAGACGGTACAAAGTTGACAGGAAACAAAATCAACATGCCCACATTGATGAGACAGAGCAGGATGCTATCGAGTTGTCATCAAAAGGACGGAGTGAGATCAGAAAAAGAACAAGTGAACAAGAGAAGCCGAAAGGGACCGCCAGAAGGAATACCCAAGAGAGACAGAGAGCGAGAAAAGGGGGAGAGCAAAACATACTGGTGATAAGGGGAGACAGTAAATCAAAGGAGTGTTACACAGTTAAGTGGCAGCATCTTTTAAAGCTGGAGGCTGAAGGAAGCAACAAGAAAAGGAAGTAAGAGGCACTGCTAGTGAATTACTACCTTTGGCTTCCAGGTTGTGGCTTCTTTACTCCCACTTTTTCCAACTTCGCTTCATATATTCTATTTATAACATCATTTCCCAATTCACACATAAGCTATGAAGCAAAAATAATAAATTCAAATACAGTTGCAAAAGGCTTTATCTACCCATTTAGTTGTTTTTAGTCTCACTCAGCCTATTTTTACAACTTAGTATTTTCATGGGTAAAAGTACACTTACAGAAATAAGCATGGGTTTATATCATGATAATGAAACCATCAGTGAATAGAGAGACCAAATTCCAAGTAAGATAGCAAAAAATACAGTCACTCTTTTAAAGTGCCATTCCCTTCCGAAAAAAGACTGCAAAAATGATCATCTGTCACTCAAGAATCTTTTTTTGTGCAATCAGAATGACATCTGCAGGCCTCATCAAAGGTACTCTTTTCCACCAGCTTTGCCGGTAGTTATTCTTATCCCATCGCCAAGAGACAATTCAATCAATTCTATTCCATCTTGTCCAAGAGACATTTTTGCTAAATCGTAATCCGTTATGTCTACAGAAAAAGATCAAAGACAAAAAACAGCCTGCAGATACTACTTTAAGGAGAACTTGGCCCATAAAGTCCAACTTACTGACGGCAATGAACAGACTTCTTGCTTTTAATACCAGGTAGAATCGTCAGCTCCGGTATACATAAACAGGACAAGGGGTGTATTTTTGGTTTTTTTTGTTTGTTTCCTCAGCATGAACACATTTGGTATTAAAATTATTTAAGGTCAAACCACAAGAGAAACACCCCTACTCACATTGTCTTTTGATTGTTCAGAATAGAGAAGCAATACCTAAGTACCACAGCATCACAGCTAGAAACAAATGCTTTGCATCAGTTACTCAGCTGCACACATGCATCCATGTGCGAGTTCCTACTTCGGTATTTCAATGTCACGTGATTTTCATAACCATGTTTCAAGCTAGAACTTTGGCATACAAATAGCACACAAGAGCAGCTACATGAATGTTCTATAAGCCAGTAGGAGTACAAAATCAAGATCTCACTGTAAAGGTTGGCATCTGAATTTTCAGGTACGATCACACTTTAGGCTGATATAGCACTTCCAAAATTTTCCGGCCCACTATATTATTGGTCTGTAAACAGATTTCCATTTTTATATGTTGAAAGTGTCAGATGAAACTTACTACTCAAAGTGCATAAGGTGTTCTGACTCGCAAGTTTGTAACAAGAATGACTACTGCTACTGCATGTATTACAAGAAAGTGAAAATTAAAAAAAAAAAAAAAAAAACCACAACAGACAACATTAAGCACTTTTGAGTAGAAAATTTAAGAGATGCACTGGGTGCAGATGCAAGTGTTTCCTGCATTGAGCTTTCTGATGCAGTGGCTTTAGAACAACAATCTAAGTACCAAAGAGAAACTTGTTTCAAAACTACTATTGTACCTTTAGAAGTTCAGGTTCCCATGAATCCAGCGTTAAAGATCTTACTTTTGAAAAGTGGACTCCCAAGCTCCTAAACAGCATGAAAAAAATATTAACCTGTAACTGCATGCTGTGTCTTACCTCAAACAGCTTTACCATTAATTTATGCAAATAAAGCAGCTACCTTAATTCTGTTTATAGACAGGGGTCTCTAACCTTGCTTCAATATACATTTGAAGAGGCAAACACCACCCTTCCTGACTAAGTCAACGCACAAATGAAATACAGTTCTGAAGAGTTTCCCCAACCTGTGTATCCCAGAGCACTCAATGCACAGCGTGATTCCGAGGTTGATACTGGCCCAGCGAGGATCTGCCAAACCACAATCACAGCAGGCAGCATTACCAGGAATACACTGAACTCGCTGTAGAGCACTTTCTCCCTTTAACAACTTTTCTTTTGTCTCACTGCCAGATTCTAGACTTCCAGTAGAAGGGGATGATTTCTTTTCCTGTTTCTAAAAAAAAAAAAGAAAAGAAACAAACAAAAAAGAGACACACACTTAAAGAAATAAAAGTCCTACAGATACTGACAGTGCACTAGAATCCTAGTAACTTCTGCATTTAAGTCCAAGGAAAGCCACAGAACTGAAAAAATGTTTAGTTTTTTAGAAGAAATATAGAACTGAATATAGAGGTATCCAATAATCCTACGAATTTTAAATCAAACTACAGAAAAATCTCATCAAAACATATAGGCCAAAGTAACATTAGTAAGATAGAGTGAAATATAGATTAGATATAAATTATAGCCTTCAGAATTTAATTGTATTTCCACTTGAAGACAAACAATGGATTCTTTTTTCCCTCCCCTCTCATAAAAAGAGGTTTTCTCTATTTTTAATTTTCAGCATCTAAAGGGGGGGTGGTTGGTTGTTTGGTTTTTAAACTCACCTCAGATTCATCTCCTTTCTCTCTATATGCTGTAGCAATACTGGTCTGAACCGCCTTAATCCACGCCTGTCGCAGCTTTTCTGAATCAGCCTGAAGCATGCAGCTTCTGTAACAAATACACGTATACTCAGATTCAGAGAGACTGACCAAGCAGCTAGCATCAAACAACACATTGCTCAATAAAATACAGACTCTTGAGAAAGTTTATTGCTATCACCACAAGTATATTGTTTAGCAGGCATCATCTAATAAACCCATTTATTTTGAGGTAACAAAGCGGCTGACCCTTTACGAATTGCACACTCCTTGTTTCAAAACTATTTGCAGGTAATGCTAAAACATATAGCTATGACTCTTCAGATAACCCAGAGAATGGCTTAGCTTCCTATTCCCTTTCTTTTCGTATTCCAGATTTTTCATTTTTATATCCTCACATGCAATTTACCTCCATGACCAATTACACAAGATACAGGTATCAGTCCTTGAAAACACAGTTCATTCACGGAGATCAAGAGAAAATTATTTTAAAGCTCTCTGACAAAGAACGAACTACTTTTCACACCAACAGTTAAAGGAAACAGGTCATGAAGTATAAAACTGTTCCAACACTTATGGGCTGAAAAAGTATAGGCAAGCAGGAGCAAAACGCATGTTAAAGTGAACCACAAGTGAGGATGCAAACATCAGGACAGCAATCTATTAAGAAAATAAACGTAAGTAGGAGTGGGGAGTGTAGATAACATCCAAACCTAAAAGCAGGTTGACCTTATATCAAAGATTTGGTCACATCTCAAAATCATTAACGAGAAATCCATGTCCTGTGCCCTGGCTGCGGCAGGACTGCCATACTTCTCTCCAAGTATAACCAATACACTGCACTGCTAGAGCTGAAAAAATATTTGTATTTGGCAGTTTCATTTAGTGCATTTGGAAACAATTTAACACTACTAAGACAACAGCTTATTAATATGTTTCTCTCTCATTACACCAATCAGAAATTTGGAGAAACTGAGATCTATTTTCTGTGTTACTAAGCAGCTTGATAGTATCAGCTACTACTAAGCCACAACAGCTCCACAAGCCATTTATGCATAAAGCACAAGAATGCATGTTTTATTTTAATGCCAAAAGTAAACTAAATACTGGGAACACTTCTCACAGCATCACTCTTAGCCAAAATTTCAGAAAACAGAATTGTTCAGATACTTTTCCTGTTTTGATCTATCCCAAGAGAAATGTTAGTCTTGCATTTCAAGACAACTGACTATAACGATTTTTTTAATTTTTAAATAAACATGCTCCATCACTACTTCTTACTTTGTTGGAGAAACCACCTCAAAACAGAAACGTCTTTCTATGTCCTCACAGTGTTTAACCGTGCAAAGCCGCAAGTCTTCAACAACTACTGTGGGGTTATCCTAAGAGACAAAAATTAACAAAACAAATCACATAGAGGAAAGATAATAAAGTTGTTAATAATTCCTAATTATTTATCATCTAATTCTATTTGCTTGTTTACACAAATTTTTCCTCCAAAATTAAAGTTTTAAATAGGTGGAATCAGAGATACTTAGCATAGCAAGAAATATTTAGATAAATTTTAATGTTTCGTTATATTTTATGAAAATTTAACACAAACTTTGGAGAATTCCTTTTTACCTACAATCCAATCTACTAAATAATCGACACCTTAAATTTAAACAACAGTATCCAAAAGAGCTCAAAGATACTTTCTAAGAGATGCAATTAGCTCACAAATACATCAGAAAGATTACACCTAAATCAGCAGTATTCTAAGTGCCAAGTACAAAACCCAGAAGCTGAATGCAGTGGTTTTGAAAATTTGATTAAATTCATAAGAATTCTGTTCTAAGCTAACGGCATTCTAAAAGCGCATTTTTAAAAAAACATAAAAATGTAATTGGAATTCACAAACACAAAGTGCCCAACTCAAACGCGCTCACACAAACCCAACTGTTTATTTCCTTTCCAACCACAAAAATGAAGACCCTTGATTTGATAGCATCAGATAACAAGGAATAGCCTCTGAACCTGGTCTGTTAACACTGAAGAGAAATGAATTGTCATAAGCTCTACCCTCTTTTTTTTCCTTCCTCACATCAGATAAAAAGGAATAGCCTCTGAACCTGGTCTGTTAACACTGAAGAGAAATGAATTGTCATAAGCTCTACCCTCTTTTTTTTTTTTCCTTCTTTCTCCATACAGTTTTCTAGTTTTTCCCAACATGAAGAACAGTTACAGCTATGTGGTGCAAAAGCAGGTTCTAGCACAGTAAACAAAGGAGCACGGGCCCAAACATTGATTGAAAAGGCTGGCTTCTACAGCTTGGGGCAGAGTTGCACTTGCTGCTGTAATATACAACAACTGTACTTTCCCACCAGCAAAAAGACGGATGTTGACTGCTGAACCACCTTACATTTTCAGTATTGTACGTAGCATCCCTGACTGTTTCATAACAAATGCTTTCATACCTTTCTTTCCCCTTCTCTCTCCAGCTGCTAAATTGGGTACGTGAACCCCATAACTGGAGAGAGTAAGTCCTGAAAGAGTTAAACACAACTGCTCAAAGAAAAGCATGGAATATTCCGCTGCCGCCAAGTGCGTACAAGCCTTTTGGGACCAACAACTTTTAAGGCTCTTCATAAACCTTCTCTGCAACAAGGCAACAAAGCCCACAGAAAATAAAGTATGTGCTTACAAGTCACTGTGCAGGAATCTCAAAATCTTTAAGTGTCGCTATAAGACTCATTTTACAAAGGGAGGCACTAATTTAGAAAATGCAGTAGGTTGTTCAAGACCAGACAGAACGCCAATGTCAGCACTGTTTCTCCTTCCCCTGATCAATCAGGAAAACCATCATACACACCCCAAACTATCCCAAGCCAGTTTTTGATACCTACCTTAAATTTCTTCTGGTACACAAGTTGGTTATTTTGTATTGAGAACCAGCGCCTATTCAAATAAAGAGACATCCAGAGAATACGTAACTCATTTTACAGTGCTTATTTGACCAAAATGTGCTAACATACAGTCTACAGAGAGACTGCACAAAAGAATTCACAAAAGTAATGCCGCAGTCAGTTTTGGCAAGTATTTCATGAGAATAATGAGAAAAGGGAAAGCAGAGACAAAACAGAAAAGAAAGCAAGGTTCAAATAATTTGAGTCCTAAACAAACACATTCACGTTATGACAACATTAGTTAAGCTATCACACAAAACATTTTCAAAGAACATTTACTTCTGTATTTTAGCAGCAAGCTAGAATTTTAAGTAATTGTTTGATAACACAAATTCAAATAGTTTGAATAACAAAAATACTTAAACTATGTAAACTACTCCTGAAATATTTTTGAGAGTAGAACTAAGAAATAACTAAGGCACTAAAAATACTACAGTGTTGCTATTCCATGTAGGCTTAATGTCTCTCTCTATTTGGCATTTCTTGAAATTTTAGATGTTGAAATAAAAAGATTGCATACAAAACCAAAGCAAAACCAAGGAAAACCTTTTAAGTAGGGTCCTAACTTAAGCCTCAGCTTTGTAGGAAAATATCAAATAAAAGATTTAACGAAGGCATCCTATAAAATCCAAAAAATAACGTAACACTTAAAAACTCCTCTGAACTGTATCCTTCCTTGTCAAACTCGCTGTTCAGACAGGATACAATTCTTAGAGAATGGAAAGATCATTTGTATTTTGGAAAAAGTTATGAGTGCCTCAGATCTCCAACAACTGTGTTTTATCAGACCACTGAATATTAAAAAAAAAAACCAAACCAGCAAATATAACCATCCCTTTCTAGCTCTTCTGAGGATGCACAAAATAAAAGCTAACCAATCATCACTGGTTTTGAACTGACAAAAATGAAGGGAATATAAAAAATAATTCAGTCCTGCAGTGAAATTTACACTTTTTTTGTTTTGTTCAGGCTTATAACGTGAACCTGTGCTTATCATAGCATAATTCCTCAATTATCTCAAATACCCCACTTATACCACACATCTCGTTTTTCTGCACCGCTAATTAGTTCGAATGGTAACAGCATACAAAATATTGTATTGCAACATATCTTGTTATTCTCCACAGGCTGTTGAACTTCAAGCTACGGTTTACTACAATTAGTGACAAGAGGGCTCCATATATTTATTAAACCACCACAAGCCATTCATGAAAAGAAGCACACAGATTGTTAAGAAAAATTAAGATTTACAAAAAAGTTAGATTCAAATCAGAAAATCTAGTATTTGTTAGGAAAGTTAGTGCTTAGTAGACAGATGAGATTCTACCTTTTAACAATTAATCTTTTCAAATGTTGTGCAGATATATTTAATATAAAAAGCAACAACAGGATCTTCTTTTAATACTGGATTTCCAACATCTTTTTGGGTTAAGATAATTGAAGAGAATAATGCAAGAAGTTAACTGGTTTTTCAATTTATTAACAGCAGCAATTTTGGTCACTGCTATTTAAAAGGTATCACCTTTACCATCTATTTTAAAAAAACAGAGATGCAGTAACTAAGCCTCAAATATGAACATAAGGCACATTATTGCTAATATTTAAATAGGTAACAACAAAAAAGCAGACTAGAAAAGGAAAATAAACTCAGGCTTTTTTATGTGCTGTTTTTGAACATAACACCAAATAGAAAAACATGAAAAGCAGTGCCTAAGTGATAAAGGGGGAAAAAAAAAATGCAGCCTTGCCCCAAGATAACATGCAATGGAGCAAATCCCTAATAATGGCCTTAGGTAGTGTAATTAACTTCATTAATGCAATGCCTCATTTGTTCTACAGCTAAATATTTAGTGAGTTACTAAAGTAAATAAGCTCCAATCCGATCAACTGGATATAAGTGAGCACACAAATTGTAAAATAAATTTGTGTCATCTTTAAAGCCTAGTCTAGAAGTTTTCGAAGTATTCCAGCCCCTTTTTTTCCTAGTAGAGAAATTAAATCTGTTTAAGTCCAGTCCAGCCAAAAGGTGTGGGGTTTTTTGATTTTTTTTCCAAAGAAACTTTTATTGAACAAGATCAACAATTTAGAATGTAGTGTAACTTGTAGATCACACTTTCGAAGTAGATATCAATGGAAAATAAAGTTAATACATTTTATTGTATGCTTGAAGAAATAAAAGTGGCAGACTCCCCTCCAACATGTCAGCACCACAGCAGTTTTATTCAGGCCAAAAACTTTGAGTTATTTCATATTAACCAAATAGCATCAATAAACTCTACTCATTACTGTAGGAAACAGACTGCTGGGGGTCTACAGCAGTAACAGCCAGGAACTTCTGAGGTACAATATATGTACTGAAGGTGCTGTTACAGGGTATACCACATCTATTCTGTTCTAAGAATTAATGTTCATAAACCTTTAGGCAACGTGTGTGCAGTAAATACTGACCATTATCAAAGTTTCTTTAAATGTGTCATTCTGTCAAAAATAGGAGAGAAGCATGGTGAAGGAGAAAACATACTTGGGGAATCTTGTAATTTGCACTGCCTCACTCAGTAGTGCTTAAATATAGCTGTTTGGGTTTAGGAACTGAATGTTTTCCATCATTTATACCTACACAATTCAAAAGAGTATTTGTTAAATGGGAAACAACACAAAATTAATTGAAAAACATTTCCAATTTCTGAGAGCTGAGAGTAATAACAAAAAGAAATATAAAATTTAAATTGAGTTTTACATAAAAAAAGTGAATCATGCTTATTGATTCGCAAAAGGAAACAGTTTTCTTCACTAGTTGCTATCAGCACGCAAATAAAACAGAGTGATTAAGAATGCACAACATTTAAAAGTTACATCTCTATTTCCAATGCAGTTGATAAGAAAAAAAATCTCACCAACTTCAATTGGAAAAAGTCAAAACACTGATCTTGTATGCTCAGAAGTTTGAGTGCAGAAACTTTGCTTCAATTCCTTTTTAGCTAAAACTAGCTCAATCTTTCTCATTCTTTAAAGGTGTTGAGCAGCAGGTATACTGGCATCCCAGGCAGAATCCTTCTGTTATTTTCTTAGACTGAGCCACTTACACATCCATTGCAAGTAACCAAAATTAAATGCAGGGTTAATTAAGAGCTTTTTGCGTGCCAAAGAAACATTGGGAAGGTATAAAAGAAGCTGGTTGGTACCTGATGTGATCTGGCTTTTTCCTGTCATGTGAAAAAATGGGGTAGGATTAAAACATAAGGGAAAGGAGGAGAAGGAATGAAAAATGCAAAATGAGCAAAATAAGCAAAGAATTAGCATGATCTGAAAATACAGCAGAATTAAAAAGGAAAACACTTAATGCATCCAACCTAAAAACTATTCAGAACATACTAGCATTTGATAAAGGCTTTTCTCCCTACACACATTTATCGACGCTTTCTTCATGATATGGACTTATTTTTCATTTTAATTTCTAGGAAACAAAACAGCTTTCCACCTACTGCTCCACAATAATAAATGCACCTGACTTCAGTTCCTGATGCCTTAAGAAAAACTGTGTACAGTAAGATATATCATTTACAAACAGGTAGACATACATTCAAAAAAATAGGTCTCCATACCTGTTACTGTAAGCCTTTCCAGTATAAAGATACCATTTTGATTCCACTAAAGTATATTATCTGAAATACTCATGTACACTGTACACTATCCATTTAGTCACAATAAAAAGATTGCAAAATCTCCAGCTCTTTCAAAACACAGCAACGCTGAACTGCAAATAGCTCTTGTGGTTTACTGTGCAACCTGCTCAAACACTATTTGTTTCTCAAGCTAGGTGTCATGCAGAACTATCCCAAGAACAGGAAACTTGATGCAAAAGCCCAAATAACTAAAGTCTTCAGACAATTAAATCCAAGCTGCCAGCTGCCCCAGGAAGAAACTACATCATCCTAGCAAGAAATTAGCTTGGGTTGGAAACAAAACAAGTTTTCATTCATTAGAACAGATTTGCCCCCCTTCAAAGGGCTGCATTATATGGTTTTGATTTTTTCCTCCCCCAGCAACCAGACTTTTCCCAGGATAATCCACTACGGCGTCCATGGATTCGCTGACCAAGACATGCACACAGAAGCATCACAATTACCTAATTTGTTAGCTAGAATCATACTGATGTGTGTCAAACCCAGACAAAATCCATTCTACCATTTCCTTTTCTCTTATGTTTTTAATGCTGGCAAGTATACACTAATAGTGGTAATTGCAATGATTTTTGGTGCCTTTAATTCACTCTTAAAAAGGCCTAGAACCATCAAAATACAAACTGCTACCAACAGAGGGAAAAGAAAAACTACTATTTTAAATACATATTACTACTGACAGTATGATCAGCAGTTAGCAAGGCAGCTCAGTGCCGTCACCCTTGTTCAGAAAGAAATACTGGAATTTCCTGATGTTCTAGGCAATTTCTTCTGGTTTTATTTCAGCTGATTGATTTTCCACCCACCTCCCCAAAAAGATGGGCATATAATGAAGCAGCAAACTACCTATCCGATAAGAACACTGAAAATATCTTGTCTGTCTTGGGGTCTCTGACTTCAGCTCTGAATTCCCTCATATAAAATAAGTAATTCTCTAAATGTTTCTTCCTTTGGTATTTCATTGTACATTTATACACACAAAACAGTTTAATGCAATGACACAGTCCTTTCTTGTACTCTACCTAGTGACCGGAAAAACACTCTCACCTCTAATATATGGTAAACTTTAATCAGTATTATCTCCCTGCAGCTGAAACTGCAATATTACCCAAGTAAAACATTCCATCAGTGGAAACAGGCAGTGGAAAGTGGCAATGACCACCTCAGTGCCTACAACGTAGCAAGCAATTACAAGTTTATTCAGAAACAAAAATAAAATAAAAACACTTCTCTAATTAAAACACGAAAAATGGGGCTAGATTGAGAAACTAACAGCTGTCTTCATTAAGAAGGTCATAACAATTAGTAATGGTTTGTGAATGTGAAGTACAAAATTAAAATGATTGATTCAATTTCTAAACAGTGTTTATAGATAGCATATCCAATGCTATTCTCTGCCTAATTCTGAAGCATCCAACTAGCCTATCACAGTGAGATAAATGATCAAGAATCTAAGATTAAAAAAGGTTAAAGGTTTAGCTTTATTGAATACTCCTGTGACAAGTAGAAGAAAAAAGCTTAAGCAAATATAAATTATATAGTAAAAGTAGGTAGCTCTGACTCATTACTGAGCTGTTTACCTTGGCTCTCTTAAATAACTTATTGTTTGGATATGTTTTTATTATGTATATTCAAACCTGTAACTTAACCTGAAAGAACGTCATTGTGTATCTTGATTTAATTATGACTTCCCCGTATTTATTTTGTGTCCATTTAAATGTCCAACAGAGAAGTTAGTTTTAATTGAATCCTACTCCCTAACTACCTTAAGGTAAGATACATGTACAGTATTACTAGGTATGAAGCCACGTGGAAGAAGATTTCTCAGCTACGTTCCAACACTCCTGTCCTGCTCCCTCCCTACAGAGCAAGCCTTTATGCTATCCCAAAGAAGAACCCAGAGAGCGAGTCAAGAGTTTTGCCTTCAGTCAATTACCAAGAGGCTGCAGTCAATCCTGCAAGGACCCTTTCAGCCTGTTGAGAATCCAATAAAGGACAATCTCCTGCCCTGTTACTGTGGATTTTTCTCAGTGTGCTTACACTAACATTTTACTTCAGACCAGGAACGTGCTTTTGAAGCATTATCTCCCAGTTTTCTCCCTTCACCGTCCTTTGATGCCTTGCAGATTTGTCTTGGAGAACTCTGAATTCTGCTTGGATCAAACTAACCCAGAAGGTACATTACAATTACAGACGGATAATCAGACCACAGGACCAGACCTGAAGTAGTCCAATGCAAAATCCCTTACACCAGTTGCACATGACTTGCTAATATAGATACAGTCTTATTGACGCCAGTGGCCCTTGCATCAGTCTATGGATTTAAGTGAAGCAATCCCAATTTGTTACGGACTTGTGGTGTTCCAAGATGCCCAAGGAATCATAGAATAATTAAGGTTGGAAGGGACCACATATCCAAATGCATATTCTGGCCTTTGAAACACAGTAAATAGTTTAACAAAAGCACTGCTGCAAAAATTGCAGAGCATAAGATAGTAAAAAGAGCTCTATATCACAACAAATTAAAATTCGAGAGCTGTATCCAACTATACTGTAAATGCTCCAGCATATATAGCATCTCCTTGAAAAAAGCATACACCTTTGGAAATGAAAAAGAAATCCTGTTCAGGGAGAAAAATATTTAAACAATAGTAAAATATACATCGTTAAAGAGACATGACTAACAATATATTTTGAATTCCCAACAGGACCATCAAAACTACTAAGCAGAATTCACTGCACAGGACAGGAATTGTAAAAGGATAACAGTTACATGCTTATCTTTCACAAAAAATAACTTGAGTCCTCGAGTCCTTCACTGTGTTTCCCTGTTTCCAATGGCTATACAACTTCCATTTTACTTTGTCCTCTAACATTTATTTTCCCAGCATATACATTCACATAACTTATTGTACACAATTATAAGGATTGGTCTGTTTCAACCCCAATGTAAGGCCAAAATGCAAGTACAGAGCCGGACTGCGCACAACAAAGCAAGCTTTCCATACACAGGACTTCTCCAGACTAAGACACACTCTCAGAAAAAGGCTCGCAAACAACTAGGACAGAAAATAAGGAAAAATGGCTTTGAAGTGTCATCTCTACATTAATTGACAGAGTCGTCCAAGTGTTCTGTCAAAACTGTGGAATCAGTGAGTTGCGTAGGTTATAAATCAGACCAGAATTTAGCTTAACAAGCAGTATCTTAATAAGCCAGTAAATAGAGGTTCTGAATAATTACCTGTTCCAAGTCTTGAAGGCATTGCTGGCCCGCTTAAATAGATAACCTTCCATAACAATACCATTGGCTGCATCTACGTTGTATTCTAGTTTAGTATCATCACTAGAATAATCCTAGTACAAAGGAACAAGACAAGAAAAAGACATTGCAGTTTCAAATGAAACTTCAAATATAGGCAATATTAATGTCAAAAAGAGTAAACATTTCAGAATAATGTTTTGCTTGCAACACTTACTAGTCAAGCCATGACTCTCAGCCCCTGGCAATTTTTTTTTAAAAAGCATTTTTAGGAGATCAGAATGCTGAAGATTTTTACTTTACCTGCACACAAGGGGAATTTCTTGCTCAGGTATTGGTGACCTCTATGGCCAAGTAGAGGGCAAACATTACTGACAGAACATCTGATGCTTCAACTGTCTGCTCAAATGGTCTCACATATTCCAAAGAAAGGGGAGAGTAAGGTAGAGGAAAAGGTGCAATGGGAGTTAACTGCTTCACATCTCCAGCAAAGGTAGCGTAGACTAAGTAGCAATACATGTGGTGATTATTTGTTTTCATATCTCATCTGAAACAGCATGGACTCTTCCCAGGGAGCTACGGAGCTCAGGTATTCAGTGAGTGGGAGGCTAACAGCTACTAGGGGTGCATGAAAAAGCACACATGGAATGACATAATTTATCATGAGCTATGTCCGGAGATCAAAATACTATACATGGTATTATTTAATTTCACTGTTAGTAAAATATATCCTTTAAATAGACTAGCAACATATGGCTTCTTCCCCTTAACTAGGGCAGAAGAGACACACCACCGAAAATTAAGTTTCAGAACAAAAAAAACAGGTTAAATACCGAAGATGCAGGACATTTCATAATGTCACTCTCCCATACCTTCAGCAGGTACTTTTTGTAAATTGCAAACATCAGCTTTGTGTGAAAAACGTGTGCCTGTAAATGTCTGTTTTGTACTTTGCTCCTTCGGAATTTGTCTATACATATGGGAAAAGAGGCTATACAAAAAAAAAGTCAGCTTCAAAAACAATACCATTAGCCCTATGTAATATTCCAGCCTGCACACAACTTTTCTGCTACATACTATGTTTACTCTTAGATGCAGATGGTTTGGTCCAATCCAAGGTTAATTAAACAAGACAATGAAACGGTTACAAATATCGAAATAGGCCCTTTACACTCCCAGGCCAGCACAGCACCAAATTCCATAAAATTACTCACAGTGTTTTCAGCTATTACCAATCTGAATAGATTAACTAAATTTGAAATGTTAAATCTAGATTTTTATTAATTCACTGGCAGAAGATCAGTGCAAGAGAGTTCCAAAAGAAAATGGAACTATCGTATCACTACCATATACTGATCTGAATAAACACATAGGTTGCAAATAAAAGCTTCCCAAAAATCACAAATTTGTGCATTTATTACTCAGCATTTAATAATTTTGATTTTCTGCCTGTTTTCTAGATCAGAACATGCTGAACATTAAAAACTTAATGTAAGCACAAACAGCCAAATACCACAGTACAATTTTAACTTGGTATTTCACAACTTATATGACATACACATTCTCAAAGTGTTGAGTCCTTTCTGTTTTTTTCTTATCCCCTCCAAAAAAAGAAAAAACCCCTCTAAGCACAGACTTAGACATGCTGATAACACATTCCCCCTCCCTCCCCAAAAAACTGATAAATTACTCTAACTCACCAGCTCCCAAACATAATGAAACCTGCTAAAGATTTGCATCTTCCTGCCTCAGCGATGCCTGCAACTCCTTGTCTAGTGAAAGACAACATACACTCCCTCGGTCTTTTCTGTCCAAACTACTATGTAATCAAATTTTCCTTAAGGTTTGGAGAACTGCTGCAGAAAATGCAACTGTCTTTTCCAATGAATCTAGGTTTACGCTTTGAAGACATATACAAGCATGACAGGAAAACTCCTTTGTATCATTTATCATGCTACACTCTCAGTCCAAATTGTCTAAAATAATGAGCCTTCCTCATGAAGTGCATTTAGTGTCATTTTTAATTGCTTCCCTGACTGACTTCCACCTTCATAGAGCAGAGAGACACAAGAGTATACAGACAAATGTTTAATATTTTCCTAACTGTACATAGCAGACTACCAACTGGGGGGCGAGGGAGTAAAGTTTCCATATGCTTTATCCATAAAACCTCATTGGTAAAGTTGTGGTCAGGAAAAAGACGAACAAACAAACAAAAACCCACACTTCATTTCAATTAAAAGGATAAAAGTAGAAAAAGGAACTAGATAAGCCGCATCTGATCTTATAATCTCTGCTATTTTATAATTAAAAGAATAGGAGAAAAGCAGTCACATTATAGTTTATTTTTATCTCGGCTCATGGAAAATTTAGTGAATCATGAAAAATAATCAGGGGGTGGAGAGAAATACATCCATATCTTTCCAGTGTCCTGCATAAGAGAATCACATGTGAATAAACCCAGTCACTTCACATGATTCAGAATTTTGTATTCCTGAAGCAAACACACAGCTGAAAGACTGAATTTTAAACATCATTTATTTACTAATTAGGTGTCAGTTAGGATTAAAGTACATGTCCCCTAATCAGAACTAAGAAAATTAAGCCAGTATTGTGAAAGTTACACTGAAGTGCTATATCACACATTTCATTCAGATTTGAAGGAAGGAACATCTATGGCTTCTATTCTGATACACATTTTTCAAGGTTGGCCAGCTACTGGAAGAGAAACATGTAGAAGTGGGTTATGTAAGTGAAGCATACAGCATGCTTTCATGCCTTTTTTTTTTTTCCTTTTTCTTTAAATGTCCATGAGGAATAGCAAATCAGCTGGCAATGGAAAAACAACTTTCATTTCCACAGTTAATACTAATCTGGTGGGTCACAGAATACTTACTATTCTTGACAGTGTTTCAGTGAATGCATTTTCATACGAACTTATCAATTTATCACACATACTGGATTCATTTCATAGCTTGCATGTTTTCTGTTTCTCTACATATAAGTTTCTTGTTACCGAAACATAAACCCCCATACTTTTCAGCAGCAGTTTTCGATTCACTTCCATATGAAGATTTGCTAGCAGGTCATGACAGCTATTAAAGCCATTCTACCAGTAAATCTTAGGGAGTGTGAGTATCAGCATTTTAACATTGAGTGTGTATTCAATATGTTTTTTACTTTAGAGAAGCAGAATTTTTAAAGTTTTTAAAAAAAGCAGTAAATGGGGGAGCATAACTACCAAAGAAAACACTAATCTGAAGTTACTCCAGCATATACTAAACAGAAGAAACTAATTGTGCAACCCCCCACCGTTTAGAAAGTTGATTCCATTCCCATCGGCAAAAGAGATGTTTGTCATGCTTAAGTTGAGAGTCCCTTGAGGAAGGGCTTAAAACAACAACAGACACAACAAGTAACAAGGTTTACAGTCCAAGACAAAGTGAAAGAAGGCAAAATAGTCCTTGAGCACACAAGTCACTTGAAACAGCGACACATCTTTGGTTTTTGAGACAGGAATTAGTTTACATTACTTCTCAACAGCAGCTCTGGCTTATGCCTGCGTTATGACTGTGGTAGCATGTGGTTTCCTATCACCTTGTTTACTCAAGATGTTAAAAATTTTCAAATCATTCTCACTCCAGCTGTTTCCTGAGCAGTTCTTTGGATGCAGATTTTTTTTTTTTTTTTACATGAAAAAGGGATTTGAATACAACGAAAACTATTTGAAGTTCACTGCAAACGTTTTTCCTGTATCATTTCCCTCATTTTAGAACAAAATATTAGCTCTGTCACAAAACCAAAAGCCATAATGCTGTTTACAGGTCCAACCATTTTTTAAATTATTTCTTAATTCAACATGTTACTACAGCAATGGGCTGCAAACTGCTCAGAAAACAAGAGTTATAAGTCTTAAGTGATACTGACACTTGTGATACCACTCTTTTAATATGAATCTTTCCCTATACAAATATAGTGCAAAGAGTTCCCAGAATGATCATGACATTTCTAGATTAATTCATAGTGTTGCTCCAGATTAATATGGAAACAATAATTTCTTACACTAAAAAAAAAAAATTGTTTCCTGCACATTTGCTGAGTAAATAGAACACAAAAGTTAAAACAAACAAAAATATCAGACATCAATTCTCTTAAAATAGAAATGAAACTATAGTGGTGACCAAGCCCTTCCATGACTTTTGTATTAGCCTCTCGGACAACAGCCTAATTAAATAGGATGATGATTACAAAGAAAAGTGAGATGAGTTATTTAATTAGTGCAATTATTCTGCATGCATATGCACATATATGCAAACACAGGTAGTGGGTGGTAGGTGTGTGCACATGTGCACTTACCTATACATTTCAGAAAAGGAACTGTTCTTTATCCACACAATGAAGAAAAGGCATCATTCTGAAGCATTAGATTAAAACTTCAGTATATTAAATGCATATATACCTCATGGAATATTCAACACAAGAAGCAGAAGTTTCAGTAGTTATAAAACATGGAAGGATTTGGCATTGGAAGATTTGGGAACATATGCCTAAGAGGCAGCCCAGTGGAAAGCAACATGGCAAGCCATGAGAAGAGAACAGAGAACAAGGTTGCCATCCTGGTCAGGTTGACTAGATGATAAATAATGATATAAAGAACAAGATCCAAGGTCTAAGGCAGTTCAAGATTCTGAAATCCTGATGAGCTGGAAGCAAACTTGGTGGGAAGGTTGGGAAAAGCAAGTAGGAGGAGACAAAAAACAGACAACATGATTTGAGTAAGAAACCAAGAAAGTGATTTGACTAGCTATAAGAGGAATCGCCGATGAAGCATGTCCTCCAAAGCCTAGACGCGTTAATCTATGCATTATCACCACAAAAATGCATCAATGACTTCACTGATAAGGACAGGAAACAACATATACAACTTGAAACACAGACTTTAGAGGACAACATACAATACAATCTGATTGATTACAATCTGTAAACAAAATTGAGCCCTGATTATATTTTAGAGACAGTGTAAAATTGTCATTCAATTAAAGAAAAATATATAAATAACCTCATTGTGATTGGCATTTGTACTAGAAACCAAGAATATTTATATTACGCACAGATATAGGTTTTCAAGTTTCATTAAGCTTAAAAGTTTAAATAACCATTGATATTATTAGAAATAGTTTACCTGTAAAGCAGCCTTAAGCAGCATTTGAAGAAAAACAAAGACTGTGAAAACCATTGGCAACAGCAATGACCATAATTCAGGGTAACAAGTTATTATTTCTATAGCCAATTAAAAGATAATTGCCCATAACTTACATCCTTCACCAAGCACCGCTGTTCTCTAACAGTAAAACCCTCAACTACTGCCCACTCCTGAAACTAGGCTGGCCTATCGAGCACAAACAAATTAAAGTTTGAACATCAGTGTTAATTCTCAAGTTCCATCTCTTTCCCATTTCCCCTCTTTCTTCCCCTTCCTTGCCTGTAGTTATCTGCTGTCTGCCTCCAAACACAGCACATCAGCACTGCCCTAAAACCCATCATCGTGTCTGCTCAGTTTCACAGTTAGAGCAATTCTAATGCTTCCCACCAACTCCTGCAGGAATGACAGGATGAAGTGACAAAAACATTTTCAGCAATCAAAAGAGTTACCTTTTCCCATTAGTATTAATATTGACTCCTACTAAGGCTACCTAAATTACAATCTTAGCATGTTTGCATTCCTGAATTTATTTACTCATCAGATTTCATTTACATTAGGCTTTTTTTTTTAATTTATGCCACCTGAACAGATACAGAATGTATTTAAATGAGAGTAAGAAGTGTTGCATTACCTTTAAACTGGTATCTAATCCCTTTAAAAAGTACCTGCAGTATTAGCTCACTACCGGAGAGTTCAGTGGAAATATTTTTAACTTCTAGCATTATACCTGCAAAACCAATACTGATCTAGAGCTTCTGAAACATCCAAACAACAAAAGTCATTCCCCCCATAACATGAATTATCTACGTTTTTCTCAACTAGCAAAAATAAGAATTATTGCATATAAAAATCTTCCCAAAACAGCAATTTAATGTTATCACTTTCATATTTGTGCACAGTCGAACACCATACATTAGACAGCCTTTACACAAGTTTACTTTTGCTCTTCATATGCAATAGCAGCTGCCACACTCTACCTCAAAGTGCTGCACACATATTTGGCACAGTCCAGAAAGAAAGTGATACATATGGCTGTAGGACTATGCAGCATATACACCTCTTCTACAGATACACAGGAGGGAAAGATAACAACTTTTACAACTATATTGAATTCAAGATGTAATCGGAATTAAGAGTTCTAATGAAATGTTAAGAGTCCCAGCATTCAAATAAATTCTACTGTTCTATTTATGTTTCAGTCAAAACTAAACATAATATTCTGTTCTGTAATACAAAATGAATATCTGCAATCCAACCCTACGCTTAATAATGTGTAAGTCTATTTCTCTGCACTAAAGATACCATCCCTCACAGTTCCGATGCAGAGATGCACTGCTGGGGAGAGATGCCAGAGACACAAAAATGTGTGTGCAGTCTGCCTTTTACATTCTCTCAAGTACCTTTTGTTGAATAGTGGAGTGCTTTTGCTCCATATCTCTCTTCTCCTTTGCAGCATCTACAGCCAACTGATCCAGCTGTAAAGAGAAACAGAAAATTGGATCTTTAGATATCAAGAGAAATTTGGCTCAGTAGATTTCATAATGCTGACAAAAAAGAACACATTATGTCTAGACATTGCATGACTTTTGTTTTATTTGCATAATATAATTACTTCTCTGGTCACAAAGTGTTTACCTTGAATAACCACTGAAGCCTCGTTTAAAGCACTGCACTACCATCCTGAATTAACCTCTACGAAAGGTGTACATTTCTTGTAAGCCTTAGAAGAAATGTTTCAAAGAACAGCATGGTGCCAAGCATATGCGACTCTATACCGCATTGGTGCTCAGTCTCCGAAGAGAATGACTCATGCTTTAGCTGCTCTTGCTGGCTGACTGGCCTATGCAGCAGCACTGGCATTAGCAGCAAAAACTAGAAGGAGTGAATGCTAGTGATTTTCCCCTCCACAAAGGGGGCGAACTGCCTCAACCAGACTTTTGTATTGACAGTTTTGATCAGGTCACCAGCAGTATTTGAGCAAGATTCCTTGAAATCTTAGGTAGAACCATTCAAACTATTTCTAGTTTCAGAAGTAACAATAATATTTTGCAGAAAAGAGAGTCTGACACAACAGAGAAGATTTAAGTTAGCATCCTTACAAAGTCTGTGATAATAAAAAAGACACTACCAAAAACCTGCTGCAAGCATGTCTATAGCACTACCATATAAACTTTTTCCTTTTATAACCAGATGGAAAAAAGGCAGGAAATTTAAGATATCCTGTAAGAGAGTAAGGTGGGGTTTTTGGGGGGGTTGTTTGTTTGTTTTGGGTTTTTGTGGTTTTTTGTTTGTTGTTGTTCTGGGTTTTTTGTGGACAGTGGGGGTTTTTTTGTTTTTTTTTGTGGTTGGGGGCTGGGGGTGGTGGTATTTAACAGACTTTGATGTTTAAATAAGAAATATGGTGGTGAAGTGGAGGAGCAGATGCTGCCTGAAAGACCAGACAGCTTGGTAGTTATGCGACACATATGGAGTCTGATGAACTCCTCCTTTATCCAGCCTGTAATACAAGAACTGCCGTTAACCCCAGTCACAGCATCTTACTGAATAACGATGCAGATGCAATACTGAACACAGCGGTACAGCCCGCAGCTTTACATCTGCGGGACAGACCTCATTATACTCCAGGCCTAGAACGAGGAGACCAGGAACAGTGTACACCACCAGTTTTCCAGCTGAAGTCAGTCACGTGGCAGAGGGCACAGTATGACTAACAGAACCTCTAATTCACACGCAAATAGGATCGCCTCCACCCACTCTCATAACCACAAGTGAGAACCCCTGCCAACTCTGGTCATTTTCCCCAGTGTTGCATTTCCCCTGCTTGAACTGATACAAATGAGAGAAAAAAGGGACAATAACTGGCTCTTACAGCCTTGTGCTAGACAGTCTCCAACAATTAAGGAGCCATCAGATAGTTGGGACATCTGGATCCAATTCCATACTCTGTTACTTCTCTTAACTCTTCTCTCCCTGGCTGCTTCTCTGGCTCAAATGGCTACACCAGCACTTTCACACCTTACAGGTATTTGTGAACATGAACACGTTAAAGACTGAAGTGTCCAGATGTCATATTTATATAACTATATGACTTAAAAATTATAGAAGAGCCTCTAAAATAGAGACTGGGATGCCATTGTGCTCAAAGACTGTTTTGCATCGAGAACCCTGGGAAACCCGTTGTTTTGTGATAAATATGAGAACTGGTCCAAGGGCTGGGCAAGACTTTATAGGAATCAAGTTTCTTGCTAAAACCTCAGATTCAGGAATCTGCACATGGCCCCCAGGAAATTCCTCCTCCTACCCTGCTAGGTGAAACAGAAGGTAGCCAGGTTCAGATTAGAGCAATTAGCTCTAATTTATCTTAAACACAAGTGTTTGAGGATACATTTGCCACAGCACAAGTGCCGAAACAAACTTCTTTACAGCAGTTCACTTCATCATTTACTTTTCACTATCAAGACAGCATTGCATCATTCCAGTTTCCAAGCTCAGACCGGAATTTCTTCTTTTCACACAGGTGAGCAATACATCAACTGTCTTAAAACAAAGACAACCAACAGCATGCAACTGTCAAGAGCTGTGGCCAATCACACAACTAAACTATCAAAATCCCAGTCATTATACCACAACTGGGTAGTCTTCAAAAAACTAGGTTTTTCAAAATACTGCATGTACCGGTAAATGTATTTTTTATGAACATATAGTGCTGTAAGTGGTATGCTGTAGAGAACTAAGACTAAAATGTTTAGCTTTTTGAATAGTCATCTCAGAATGAAAATTCAAGTAGGTTTTCTTTTTAAACTAATACCACATTTCACATTAAAAGTGTCAAATACCATAATTTCCATGCAAAAGCTTTATTACACTTGTGTGCCATTAAAGATTCCCCTACAATGATCTGATTCACAAATAATCCTACCCTGACCTAAAATATCCAGAAAGCAAAATTGCTCAATCCTATTCCGTCATGCAAACCAGTTATTTTGAAAATGCAAAACAAAAGAACTAAAAATTATAACTATACTATTTAAGATCACTTCAATTTTAATACTTCAGGTGCTGTTAAACCTTGTAATTAAGATCATACACAAAATTTACCTGCGAATGAACTCACCAACAGAAAGAACGTGACAATATTCTCGGAAAAAATCTAGCAAATCCCTGTTTTGTTGTGTCACAACATACCTTCTCTCTGACCCATTACAGGCAGAAGCTTCAACCAATACAAACTGCAAAGCCATTAACCGTTAAACTTTCATAAGCTATTTACAAGTCTGCTTCTGTCATGAAAAATATCCATTACTTAAATGCCAAGGTCTGCCACAGAAGAAAAACTCAGCAAGTTGTACAACTTTAGGGTCTTCAGTCTATCTTTGCTCCAACTGCAGTATGTTTTAAACATTCTCAGCTTTGGATTTTCTAAATTTAACTCCTTCAGTTGCTATGACACCAGCACCAAGATGAATGTTACATAATGCTCCTTACCAGATCAAGCAAAAGGACCATCAGCCATTCAAAAATAACCGTGTGTTCCTTGCTCAAATAATCTCAATGAAATGGAAACATTAAAGCCTAGCTGGTAGCATAAACCACTACCAACTCCATAGTTTTTGTCTCCTTTCCCCATCCCCTCTTCTGCAGAGGTACAGGACGCACATTCTATACTATCAAAACACTACAGTTCAACAATTACAACCCAAAATGGAAGGATGTGAAAGAATAAAAGGCACAACTAAGGACAGAGTTGCATGCACCTGAACCTTTCAAGTACCACTATTACACCAAACACAGAGGGCTGTAGCTGTACAGTCACTTCCCTTCTTGATGGCAGCGCCAGCTCAAGCAGCCTGTCTCTTCTCAGCTCCATCACTTGCTCGCCACACACGTGCACACACACAAGCACACACCTCCCGACATGCGTTTGTACAAGTAATTAAGACCCACAGTAACCTGGCTGGGGGACTAGTCTAGCAGAAAAATAACTATTTAGACATTCGATTGTTGGGAGTTGTTTTCTACAGTTCCCAATCTGGTTCACTGCACAGACACAGAAGCAGGTTGAGGGACACAGATGACAACAGCGCTGTGGCAGGAATAACCAGCTCAGAACAATGTCATTTCTTAAGACATTCAGTGACACATTTACTTGAAATGAATGCAAATAAATGTTTGCTGTCATGTATTTGCTTTTGTATCTGGATAGACACTTAGAATTTGGGTTGGCTTTGTTTTGTGGATGAGGTTGGGAAGTGGCTATAGAGGGTTTTGCATCAGTGCAGTTGTTGCAAGTCCTCGGACAGAAGCAAAAAAAAAGAAAAAGTGTTGTACCAGTATTTCCAGGCCCATTCAATTTGCACTGAAAACAAGTCAAGACACTGCTGAGTCTTCTTCCTGCACCACTGACAGATCTTCAGTTGAATATTGTATGTTCTTAATCTATTTTGCATAACCATTTTTCATGTCTCCTGTGTGCAGTTGGCTGTGGTCCGTCTAACCTTTTCATGAGTCCCTCACTGAAAACCCAGAAGTTGCAACTGTGTGTTCTTAAACTTAAACAAGAAAACTGGGCAAGAAGGATTCAATGTATGAACTCAGTTTTGCACTACTTTTTAAAATCAGACTTCTGTTTTATGGTTTAAGTTGCTAACATCAATTTTATTTTTGGCACACTGCATAATTTATAGAGTAAATAATGTATACAAGTAGAAGGAAAAAACCTAATCTACTTTTTATTGTTAAATATATTTATAACATGGGTCATATACAAGAAATTTTAAACCAAATTAACCCAGTGTCCTGAATACCATAGAGTACCTCAAACAGCACTACACGGCTATGTTTAAGTAGGTAAATCCTAAAGGTAGTAGTAATTTTAGTAAACAGACAACTTTCAGTTTCTAACTCTTTTCATTCAAACCACTTACAGTGTATTTTTATGCTTTGCCTTTATCACACTACAGTTCCCTTTTTGTTGAATAAATCTATGATGTACCTGGTATGTACGCATATATCAAGTTTTCATCCATTCCAGCATATAGTTATGAATTTTTAAAGTAAATTGTTACCTGTGCACCAAGATCTTTCATGTACGGCTCAAGTTCACTAAAAAGATCATAGCCTTGATGGAAAAAAACCAGATGGGCATACATAAATGATAACATCTAGAAGGAAAAAAGTATATTTTTTAAAAGGATAAATATTTATCAGATATCACATAAATATATCACTTAACTAATCCACATGAACAAACTTAAAATACAATTCCAGGGTTAATTTCTGCTCTCTTCTGTCCCGGCAATTTTACATCAATATCTCATGAGCTTCCGATGTTGTAAATAAACATGCAAGGTAAAGGCAGCAAAGAACCAAGCCAAAAATCTCAGAAATTAGTTAATAGGATTAACCCCATTAACAAAACAAATCTAGTTAAGGGCAGAAAATTACTTCTAATTCATGTCACCTGAAACTTTTGTTATCTCCTGTTTAACCAGGACATGTAAATTAGCGAGGGGGCCACAGAAGATATTTACTAATGACTGAAAATCGTAACCTTTATGAACATAGCTGAGAAGACTGTCCAGTCTTAAAAAAGAAAACAAGTTGGGAAGATGCAGAGTAGAATGGCAAGCAGCTATAAAGCTGTGATCCAACTGAAGTTTTTGCTATTTAAAGGAATTAAGGAAGTTATAGGAGTGCAACTTTAGACCTTTGAAAGAAAAGCACCATTTAATTTGGCAGTCTCTACCTCAGTAAACTTTTTACAGAGATAATATGAAGCAGAAAAGGGAATACAGAAGAAAACTAGCATGCAGATATAGCTGTATATTAATTTAGCAGATACCATACTAAAGCATATTGTATATTTGCTATTACAATATGCTATTTACATAAAAAATACCATTTTTGTAGGAAGAACTGAATCCATCTTAGAATAGATTATAAGTAGTACTTATTGTTTATAAATGAATATAGCAGACCTAAACAGCAGAATTCTTGGCAGACAAAGTTCGATTTTAACTATGAAACACAGACCAAAGAATCAACAGCAGTGAAAACCTTAAGTGTTCACATCTGAACCAGAAGGATTGCCAAAAAAGTTAAGCATCTATGCCCAGTTATAGTAAAGGCCAAACTGACTGTCACTGAAGTGCCAAACGTACCGGTAATGTTTTGATGGGTGAAAGAACTAAATTTTTAATATACTGCTTTGCAGTCACATTTTTAATTTCAGATGTGTTTAACATTTTCTATGCAGAAAATAAAATATATCTTACTGATTTTAAGATTTCTGCTCTCCTTTTAGACTGAAGAACGTTGATCTAGAAAAAAAACCAAACAAGCAACTTATTTTATTCTACTTGCAAATTTTCCCCACAGAAGTAAACTTCAAACTACTTCCAAATAATCATATCAAAGCTTAAAACATTGGAAGAACATAACTCAATATCAGACTTCACAAAGCACTTCTAAAAGAAGATGCATGGTATTAAAGTGACGCCATCAGAAAAAGCTTGGGAAGCTAGAATTTCACAGTGATAGTCACAACTTTCTTATATTAGAAAGGAAAATATAAGACATCACGTGCTAGCTAGAAGTAATATAATACACCTTTCAATCAAGGAAAATTGGTACCCGTTTTCAAGAGATTGAATTCAACGTGTTTCAAATACCCTTTCTGACAGGATGAGCTAATCCAGCCCACCACTTCTTAAAGAAGCTGCACTCAGCACCACTGCCGTCTCCTGCCAGGGGAGAGGAAAGGACAGCGGCATGTTTATTTTTCCCCTCGGGCTGACATTGTCTGAAGTGTCCCAAAACTGGGATATAGCCCCAGCCTCTGAAACAAGCAAGATCATAATGGCTGCAATGAGTAACTTTTCATATATACGTGCATTTTTAAGCTAGCTGAAGTCACTGCCCAATGGTGTTGCCCTAGAACTTGAAGAATTTCACATTATAGAGAAAAAAATAACTGATTTTTGACATTCATCTACTTCCTCTATCCTCTTTGTCCCCTAATCTTTAAGGTCGTCATCCAGAACTACAGATTTTACTGTAAAAGCCCCATTTAGCAGGAACATGCACGATTTTGTAATTTAACACCTCTATGTCAGTTTAAAATTCCAGCAAAAGAAATAAACTTACTGAAGCTATAATCAAAACCAGATTGTACTTCTATACTTAAATAGTCAGTATTTTGGAAAACCTTCTGCAGCAAAAATAATTAACATTTGTTTGCATAGAACAAACCCTCAACTCACGAGGCAAAAAAAAGGAAAGCAAAGGCTTTGAAATACAGTTTAAAGCCAATATAGCCACAAAGAGACCATAGTTGTGAAGCCACTTTTCCAGAAGAAAAGAGTCACCCAAGTAGAAAGAATTCCTAAAGCTGAATTCATTTTTGCCCACTATAATTAAGAGATGCTGAAACTCTTCCCTATTACTTTAAATGCATCTTTATCACAGGAACTGCTCATACTTTGAGCATACGAATTCCAGGAGGCAAACGATCTGCAGTTCAATGCACACACAAGGACGTGGTCTATAGTAATGACTGCCAGCTTCCCCGCCCGCTACTATTTGATGTTAGTACAAATAATCAAGTGGTACATAATTCATATGACTTTTTAAACATCAAAATAAACTCCGTCCTTAGTGTTCAAACGGCAGGAGTTCAGTGTTGACCACTGACCACCATATCTGTGCATGTGCCCGGCCAAATAAACTCCGTCCTTAGTGTTCAAACGGTTGACCACTGACCACCATATCTGTGCAATCACATCAATTCCACTCCACTTTAACATGTAATACATGCAATTTAAAGAACAGTTAACTAAGCTTTTAACTGACTGGACTGTCACAAATCAAGATGATAACGTCTAATATAAAACTAACATAATTTTAAAGGGCTGTTCTGTGTTTGATCATAGGATAACCCCAGACCCATTTAGGAGCCCCCAACCCCTCGTACCATCCGAGCTGCAATAATCCCGGTTTTGCTGTAGTTGTGGGTAACTATGAAACAGATGAATTGTAAGTATAGACAGAAAATTTATTATTATTTCACAGGATTCAAAGTAGTAGGACAAAGAACACCTCTCAACACTTATAGGAAATCTGCACTAAAAAGCAAAAGAGTAGTTATGTTCTTGATTTCCCCTATAGCACAATGCCAAACTCCGAGGCTTCTAGACAAGTAGGATTTGTTAAATAAAACCCAAAGCAAACAGCTGAAATTGTAGTAGTAGTCGTCAATATCCTACATCAGAATTATTCAGTAATTTGTACTTCCTAGGCTAGGTTACAGTTTTTACTTCAAATATATAAGGAACTACACCATAGCCAACTCATGAAATACATTTAGGTAAGTATCAGGCAAATACTGTTTGTTTAAAATGAACGTTCAAGTTGAAAATTAAACTGTGTCATTACAGCAATGGCACTGAATACCAAAGCATTAAGCAATAAGAACGTATCAAGTAAATTAATTTTGCTCAGATTTCCTTAAAAAAGAAATTACTTGCAGACAAAGTCATTCCTTTTTCACTGAGTCTCCACAGCTTCCGAAGAAGTTGTTCTTCTCCGAAGAACTTCTAAAGGACAGATCTCTAACTACATGTAACAGATAGTTTTGAAAAATAACTTTTATTGCTGCACTTACCTGAAGAACATAATCCAGAGCTATGTGTCTAAAACATTTCCGTGTTGCAGTCAAAATATTGGTTGCTTCCTCTACTTCGTGTTGCTTATTTCTTTGAACTTGGGCATTTTTTACTAGAGCATTCTCTTTTTCTTCACTAACTTTTTCAAACTGTTTCTTTGCATCTTTAAATTTCCTAATATCTCTAAAGCAAAAGGAAAGATGGATAACAAATAAATTCCAAAGCATGAGAAAAGTGTTTAAAAGATACACCAGACAGACCATGCTCGTGACCGTTATAGCTAGTTTCTTTGTTTTCATATACTTCAATAAATGCTTGGATCAAATGGAAATCATACAAAGTATGACAGAAGCTTCTCTGTCTTTCTCTACTGAGGAAAGGACAAAACCGGAATTTAAATAAATGCATCTCATGCTTACTGGGGAAAAGCTTTGGTAAGCACTTTTTTCCCTAAGCTTAGACAATGATAACATGTAATTAAGATCAGTAATTCATACTATTTCAACATTTCTGCAGCTGGATCTAAAGCCTCACTGATTCGGGGTGATTTTGACAAGCTTTAATATGCACTTCTCAATTTATGGCTAGTGATTTTTCAGGAAAGATGTTTCACCAACCCACTCAAATCAGATGTTTTAAAATTCTATTTTACCTACAATTTTCCCATTACAAGTGCAGATTAACTTACTCTTTAACGAAAGTCTGAAGCTGTGCTTTAATTGATCTTTGGGTTTGGTCAAACAGGATCTGAAAGAAAAGCATTATTATGTAGGTCAAAAACTTAGGAGTACTCATAACTTTTCATTTTAGACATTCACACGGTTATTCTGCAGAATTAGATGAGAATTATGATTAAACCAATGTGTCTAATATCAAAATTTAAACCCCTTCAAAGTAGTTTTGAAATAAATAAATAAATAAGGAATAAAATAAGGAAAATAACACAAACCCAACACCTTTTGCTGGTCTTTTCTTAAAGACAAGCGTTACTGGCACCTTATTCTCTCATCCTGACAATGTAAGACATGCCCACTTTCATAGAATATGTTTTTTATGATTATTAAATAGTCAGGAATATTACTGTACAAACAGCCTTGAAGAAACAACTTTGAATGTTAAGTAACAACTTTTTTTGATTCTTATAGACTTTCACAATTTAACCAACAACTAAAAGAGAAATGAAACCATAGAAAGAACATGCCTTTAACTTCTGGCAAAAAAACACAGACTGAAATTAATGCTGAAAATACAACATATGTAATTAGTACCATCTCCTTTACATAATATGTTTGTAAAAAAAAAAATACCCACTGTTGAACTGCTAAGAAGAATGGCTGCTTCTTTTTCTAAGATTAAGTGTTCTAAGCCATGCTTCTCAAATTTCTGATGATTTAGGGAGGCTGGGAGGAGGGGGAGGGGCAGAATATAATCTACTCATTCAAATTGTAAAGCTTGAAAAATTTGTTAAGTTAAGTTTCCAAGGCCAAAGCATACCTCAATGTTAGACAACTTGTATTTTCTCTTATGACCCCAGAAATTCTAATTGAGGAATGAAAACACACATTCCTTCAGCTTCACATCTGCCCTCTGAGTTTCAGGACAGAATGCAACAGGTCAATAGCTATGAGACAAATCCTTTTGCCACTTATCATTGTGCAGACCACAAATGATGCCTTAATTTCCAACTCCTCTACACCTCCCATTTTGCCTTATGGAATTATACAAGGCACGATCACAAAAGATAAAGAGGTGAAAGAATATAAGAAAGTAGTAGTTGGCCCAACTGAACAGAATCTCTTCCAAAAGGTAAAGATCTTTAAGTGTTAAGTAATTTTATTGAAAGAACAAGTCAAGAACTCAAAGTTTCAGGTCAAACAATGTTTTTTTTAAACGTTCTCAGTCTTAGTTTCCCTATTCACAAAATTCGGGAATGAAAAGCCATGCAATGCCAAGTGCTGACAGCAAAACCCTTATCAGCTTGTTCTAGAAACACTGAAGGAAGGAAAACATGACTGAGTTTAAGTCACCCATTAACAGTGGTACTATATCCTCCATCCAGTCTCCATTTTTGGAGGTTTTCAAGACCAAATGGGATAAAACCCTAAGCAAGCTGCTCCAACCTCAGAGCTGACCCTGATTTAGGCAGGCAGTTGAAACAGACATCTCCTGAGGCCCCCTCCAACCTGAATTGTCCTATATCTAACAGTAACACATGGAAGATCCTGTTTGTATTCCCACTTTGAGAAACCAGAAAAACAGACAACTAGAATAGATAAAGAACTTCGACAAGCTGGAAGTCATGCTGGGACTACTCCCACTGCTGACATTTAAGCTTGCCAGTGCCTGAGGAGTGCACCAATCAAGATCAATACAGAAAGGGTATAACCAGATGGGAACTCAACTGATTAGTGGACTCCCAGAAATATGAGCCCTTGCAATTCTGCTTACAGTAACGAAGAGGAAAAAAGTGCTAGGCAGAAAAATACATACACATTTTTTCCCCTAAAAGAACAGAAAAAAGTGCCCAGACCATGATCTGACTAGATTTACAGCCTTTCCAACACATTACCTTTCATACACTCCAAACCATGTCTAAGAAAGCTGCTATTTGCCATAAGCTGTCAAAGCTACTCCCCCACTGCTGAATCAGTGAAGATGCTGCATTAGCCTGGTTCCTAGCCTTATTTGTAGCAAAGCCTCATATGAGAAAGCTGACAGTCATCCAGATCTCAGTGGGACCATGTCCTATCCCTTCCCTCCTTCTGCTGGAGGATGCCTGCCTCTCCTCTTTCTTCCTCTAGCTTCTTCTCACTCACGATGGCTCTCGGGCCAGCTTGGTCAACAACAGAGCTGACACTCTGAGCTAGTAAGTCCTGCTGAACTAAGCAGATTCACAAAAAGCCACGCGGGACCACAACGTCTCTAGCAAAGCTCTGTATCAGAACCCCATAACATGCCTCACTTCTTATGTTTGTGCCTTTTGGTAAAGGCCACTATGCTTGAGCGCAGCAAGGAAGTGGAGGGGAAAAAAAAAGCAGGACAGAAGTCAGGGTGGTCCCACTTAGATCTGCAAAGAAATCTTTTAATATGGCTGGTTCTTTGCTTTCTGCCTTCAAACTGCCCTAAAGGGAGAGCTGTGCTCTGCCAAATTTTACCAAAGCACTGCAAGCCACAATCATGTAGAACAATAACGGCAGCAAAAATATAGGACCTAGGTCAGATGTCTCAAAAAGAGCGTACCATGTAGCAAAGACATGGTTAAGAGGGTAACCAGCAGCAAGAAGTGTGATGAAGAGTGTAAAACAGGGACAGCCAACTAGATTCACCTGCTCAATCTAATCTGCAGAAATCACTGACATGAAAGTAACACTTTCTCCCACTACTGCTGCTTTGAACCTTTGCACTAGCTTCTCTCTACCATCAAAGTATCACTGTCCGCTTACTCCCCTCTTTACAGTTTTCATTATGTTAGGTGTAGATATGTACATCTCATATAATGGAAAGGAAATCCAACTCAATAGTATTAACCTGCTTCCCTTTGTTTTCCTTTCCTTCTAAAAGCATGCATTTTCAAAAAAATGCTTAATAAGACAGTTTTAGGAAGCTAAGTTAATGCTAACAAACTTAATTTCAGCTGAAGCTGTTCGAACTGCGTTCTCTGTATCTCATTACATTTTAAACTCCTAGTGGTACAAAAAAAAAAAAATTAAGTGCCCTGCGTATTTTCAGCACTTTCGAGACACTGCATTTGCTTTCCAGCAATTTGCTGGAAAATGAAAGAAAAGCAGTAGGGGCCAAGGGAAGAGGAAGAAAATAGAAGAACACACACATCCTTTTGGCATTCAGGATACAAGACTAAACTCTTTAGAGGAGAAAAAAAATACATCAGTTTTCAATCCAGGCAAAACTGAGCTTTCTGATGAAGTCTGACATGCTAAAAATCACTATTAGCATTTTCTCCCTTTCTCTACGCTTGTCTAAATCTGTCATACTTCCAAAAAGAAAACTACTCACAAATTAGAGGTGCTTCATTTTGTGCATTATAAAGGATGGGGAAAAAAGTAGAAGTTATGGAAAAGGTAATCATTATTTCAGTCCAGCAAAGAAATACGCTCACAGTTTGTCACTGCTGCCTATCAGTTTGATTAAAAAAGATTAAAAAATCCAGTATTTACTCTGTCTTACAGCACTGGGTTTTAGCAAAGCTTACAAATTCCAAACAAAAAATAAAGGGAGATAAAAACCTGCAGAAAAGGGGATATTTATAAATACTTCATAAACAAAATCTAAATAAAATATTTACAAGTATAAAATGAGAGGTATTTTATACCACTTAAACCATGACTTTGCAAATACTATCAACAAGAGAAGCTTTAGCATTATTCTGTTATCAAATATAACTGGAGGTAAGCTATGAGTGTCATGGTTCAGCTAGAAATACTTACATTGTGATAATTGATCATTTCCTGTAAGGTGTCCGAGAACTTTGTCAAGCTGGTCTGTAAAGAGAAAAACAAAGTGGTTTAAGTTAAGCCCTAGCAAATACACAGTACAAAAACAAAGTTTCAGAGGTTTACAGCTTTTCAGTGAAGAACTTGGGAACTGATTTTCCTTAGCATGATTACTAAACTAAAACCATTATGATAGAAGGAGAACATGGGGGTAATATCAAGTAAATCTATTTAAGCTACAAACAACAAAAATGTTACTGCTACCTACCTATACATAAAGGACCAAAATGAAGCAAAGCAGGAAAAATTCAAATTAAGTTGACTGAACTATGGGAAGTTCACATAATTTAAACACATTAATTCACAATATTTAATATTACACTACTTAAAACACATTAATTCACAATATTTAATATTAATATTAACTACTATTAACTATTAATATGACTACTTAATAGTCATTAATGTTTAATATTCTAAGTCCAAAAACCTCATTAACATCGTGTAATCATCAGTACACACACATTTACTGTAGGAACTACTGCCTCACAGCTGATATGCTTAGCAACATCGACATCAATCTGTAGCATGAATGTCTCAAACACAGTTAGAAAACAACGATCCCTAATATATTTAGATAACTGCTTATTGCTTACACAACAAGTGTAACAAAAGCCAACTTGGAATCAAATAATGTAAGTTTTACTAGTTTGCCACCGCACTACATTTCTAGCAAGTAAATTTCCAGACAACAACAGTTTCAGTTGCACACAGACTATGCTGAAGTTCACAGGCATTATCTATTTCAACTAGCGTGTGAGGATGCATACATGCAACTGCTGTTCTATTACATGACACACATGAAGTGTAGATGATATACACAGAGATGTGCACATAATTATACCTGCGCTGTTCTATTACATGACACACATGAAGTGTAGATATACACAGAGATGTGCACATAATATACCTGCATATTACACAATTTCATACCTCATTTCAAAGTAACAGACAGGAAATATTAGGTGTTCCAAATTAGCCTGACAAGACATCAGTCAGAGCCCACCATCAAAGCGGGCTCTGTACATTCAAAAATTTAAATTTCTATGTATTAGGGAGTGCCAGTTCCAGGACCCAAGAGATCAACTCAGGGAATTAGTTGCAGAGAACTGGCTCTTAGGATCTCATTATTAGATCCCCTTTATTTAGCAAAGTAAACAGGGCAGCTGTTCACAGCTTCAACCTGACTTTCTCCACTCCTCCCAAGATGACTATTCCTAACCTAATACATATTTTCTGGAATTTGGAAAACCTTGCCATTGCAGGTTAAAGCTGAAGCTAAACAGCACAGACACTTGCAGTGCACCACAGTCAAAAAAAGCTCACTCTTACGACATCTCAAAGAAAAAGGAGCAAAAAGGCAAATAATAGTATAAACTTCAACTACTTCTCTTGCCAACTGTTATATTTTACCCCTTTTAAGTTATGCTTTTCTTCTTCCATTTTCACCTCTTAAAGAACTTACTTCAACCAATGCATCTTTACAGGAATATTGTGCAAGGTCTCGAATTCCATTCATGAACTGCTTGTTGGCTGTACAGAATGCCTTCCCAGTATCAATCATTGCAATACAAAGCTTCACCAGCTAAAGAGGAAAAAATGACAAAGTGGAAGTTTTTTGTTTTGTTTTTTACAACACCATATAAATATGAAACACACTGAACTTAGTTAAGTCTAAGAAACAAAGATTTCAAAAGTTAAACTCTAAATTTAGAGCCCCACATTCTGTGAAAAGCTTTCTATTGTATAGTGACAGCTATAAAAATACTACTCTAGGTCAACTGATACGCCATTGAGAAGGTTACTACTCTTCATAATTTTTTTTTATTATTTTTTATTTGTTTTATTGTTAACCGAGATTTTGCACATATTTCAAGAGAGGGCTATATGAGGGCAAAAAGTGCAGCAACTAAAACATAACTGGTTAGATCCCAAGCAAATTAGAAGTGTTTTGTGGTTTCCGAGCAAAAAAATCCCAAAAGAAACCCACACCAGTTGTTTCATCTTGAGACACTGAGAATACAGGCACAGGAGAGCAAAAGGCTACCTGCACAAGACACAACTGAAGAGAGATGGTTACATCTCAGAAGGCGAAATCAATCATGTTTTCACTCGTACAACAGACTAGTCTTTTTCTGATGGGTTTCCATCCCTACCACTCACTGCTTAGGTCAGCACCTTAGCTATCATGGTACTGCAGAGTCTGATATGAAGGTCATCAGTATCTTGGGATGGATGTTTTCCCACTTTTTGAACCATTTATGCACTGGGCCATTAATGAAAGAAAGAATGATTAGTGCAATCAGTAAGATGCTCTCTTGAGAGAAGGCGTATTATAATTGAGTTCCTCCACGCTAAACCAAACCGAGAATAAAATCAGAAGATTGAACCTTCGTCTCTGAAGGATTTTTCAAGGATGTTAGACAAATTTTCATGAAGAACAACATAGAAGTACTTGATCCTATGTTGGGGCAAGGAAACCACCCAAGTGACCTTCCTGCCTTATTTACCCAGTAATTTTTATGTTGACTCAGATCCTCTCAGGAAAAGAAGAAATCCGAGCATCATCTCCCTCATTCTGATGAATGGCCAAGTTGCTTGAACAGTGGACAGAAAAATCACTACCAACACGATCCTTTTTTTCCTTCGCTTTTGCTTATGGTTCACAATCCTGAACACAGTGTCCTTTACTCCAGAGGGGAAAAAAATGCCGATAATGTAGCCCAAAAGTCACAATTGTGGGAAAATAAAACTAAGTTTAGTATGGATAACTGAGCAGAAAAAGTTACGAACCAAGTCTAAACAAATCATTACCCTCAGGCCATAGTTACTTCAGCTCACACAAGAAGCTTGGCTTTTAACTTAAGCATTATACTAAATCACTTACACTTCACATTGCAATTAAACTACTTAAATACTTACCTTGTGTACTTGCTTTCTTGTCAGGGGAGCAAACAGGTTTGGGTGTTTTTGTTTTAAAGAGAACTAGGATACTGTCTCGGGGCAAAGAGTAATACTACAATTATAGCTTCTACGTGATAGAATGATATGTTTGGCACTGGCCTCCTGCCAGAGGCTGGGGGCAAGGCATTATTCATGCCCCTTAAGGAATTTGAGAATTCTTTTCCCCAAAAATGACCCTGTTAGACTGGTGGAAAACACAAACTTCCAAGAAAGATTTTTCAGATCCTTTAAATACTTTAAATAGTTTAATTTACCAAACCAGATTCATCACCCCTACAGTAAAAATGTGTCTTACACCCATCAGTTTCACCAAAATTCACACCAAATCAAAACGTGTCTTAAATTTATTTTGAAAGAGCAAATGGTTACATTATTAACTACAAAAGCTAGAAATATTATTACAAGAAGTAACAAAAAGTCTTCAGACTTAACACTACACTTGACACTGACTTTGTCTCTATCTTTCTGCAGCCAACTTGCAGCTGCAGGAACAAAAGTTCATATTCAAAAAGTAGCTAAGGAGGTTAACAAATGACATCTGCCTACCACATTAAAACACAGGCAACAAATAATTTTAAACATTTAGCATAAAATGCTAAGGAAAGGAGACTCTTTACAGATGTAGAACAAAAATAAGCCACCCTCCAAATACTACTGGTTAGGAAACCAATAAATGGATTGTAAGGCCCTGAAAAGATGCTACATATAACCTTTTATATACGTGCACAAAGCACAACAAAAAGCAGGATGAATTTTACAGTAGTTAAGTCCTCCAGACAAAAGTGAAGGATGTATCTCTCTCTCTCTCCTGCTGTGACTGTGCTGCAGACTACCAAAGACAGAAAGCATTGACTTCAAATCTCTAGAACAAAGAGTATCCAGATGTCCTCACAGTCTGCAGTTGTCATAAAAAATAAACTCTCGATGCGGGGATGGCCAACCCCTGGCTTTTAATTCACATGAAAGCTGAATTAGTTTGCATGCGGCTCCCACTGTGGGGCTGAGTCACATGAGTGCGAGGGGGCAGGGGGCCATACGGGCAGGAGGGTATTGCACAATCCAAACCCTCAGCTGGGGGAGAAAACGAGTCCACACTGGCTGTTGCTGCCCTTACTCAAGCTTGGGTCTCTGGGGCCCAGCTGTGCACTCGACCCAGATCCGCTCCCTCTGCTAGAGCAGAACCCTTGGTCGGCGGCCACTGCCGCTTCCCAGCTATGAACTTTAAAACAAAACCTAAATGCATCTTTTCACATTTTTCAGAGCAGACATTGTTGAATTAAAAAGCTTACCTTGTCAAGTTTCAGTTCCAGTTCTGTCACATCTCCTTCTACTTCTTCTAAAGCTGCCCTGCATGGTTAAAAAAACGTTTTCCTGTAAAACTTTACACAAAAATACTCTGGGACTGGGGGAAGGGACATGTTAATTTAACCCATTTACTGCCACCACAGTTTCACTTAAATTTCAACTATAAAACAGCATAGATTTTAGAGAACCACAAGAATTGCAGAAAATTTGACAGTAAAAAGAAGAAAGACTACATCACTGATAAAACATATAGTTTAGTAATAAAGATTTGAAATGAAATTTTATTAATCTTAATGTTTGTCACATTGAAATACGTTTCCTCTATTATTGTATAGCCAATAGTCTGTAAGTTTGAAGGTAATAACAAAGGAAAGAAACTAAAAGTCCAAGTGAAATTTCTCAAGTAATTATTCTGGTGACCCTCCTGGCTCAAACCTGCAAACTTACAGCTATTTAATGAATGACCTTGCAATGAGATTATGAAAAATATAGCATTTGCCGTGAGTCAACTGACTTAGCAGTAAGTTCAATGGCACATTTGTTTATGTCATTTGCCTCTAGTCTAGATTGGTTGCAACTTTCAGGCCAGTCAAATTTTACTCGCCAGTAAAAGTTGCTTTCATGAAGCATTTCTAAAGCATAACTTTTTTTGCTTGAGAGCTGGTGTTGCCTTTGATACCTCCTTCCTTGCTTATTGCTACCTGAAAAAATAGGAGACTGAGAAAGGATGACACTTTGTTCAGTGAGTTCATGAATGTTGTTGTTTCATCAGGCTATTGCCCTGAGAGCTAGAATGTACTAATTTCTGGCAACAAATGCTACACTACAAAAAAATCTGTTCAACGAGGCTGGGATTTCACATTACACAGAGGTCGGTAGGAACAGCTGTATTCCCATCCCTTGCTCCCATCACAGGGCGCCTCATTCTTTCAGTCATTTCAGCATAACTGTTCACGGAGCCACACTGTTCACCAGTAGTAGTCCGTCTTGGGGAAAAAAAAAAGTAATAGGAAGTTTTCTGTAATGCTTTTTGGAAAATTGGATCAGATACATTTCACATTTCACTCCTACAAAAAACCTCTTCCTGGAAAAAATGAGACAGGCAGGGAAGTACAATTTGGAGCAGGAATTTCTTAAGCCAGCTTTAACACTGAGGGGAGAGTACACAGAACCACAGCTTTACTGTCTCTTCCTAATTCCGTTCTAGTTCACATGAGTTCAAGCCAAGAACAAAAAATTTAAAAAAGACTGGACCAGGCCCCAAACTCAGGAAAAGCAGTTTTTACAAGAATAGTTCTGAAAGACACTGCCAGTTGCCTGCAGTTCTCAAACATTGAGCATGACATTCCCAGCTTTTTGCAGATTTCACTAACACATAGCTGCATTCCGATTTTTGTATCTAAAGGCATTCCCACAGTTACATCCTAGGTTTTATATCTAACCACATTCCTGCGCAGTTACATTTTGGCTTCTGCCTCTTCTTTAGCTTCAGACCATGAAGGATTTCAGGCAACATCAATTTCTCTTTTACTTTATTTTCTTCCATAAATGATTAAATTTCATTTAAGTCTCTAGAGTTAAATCTTGTTTCAGAGAGCATTACAGAGGGGGGGAGGGAAAGAACAAAGTAAGGAAAAGTATCTCAATATTTAGACTGCAATTTTGTATTTGTTTGTTTATAATCACAGTGCAACCAATTCTTATTTGTTTCTTTGGCATTAACATAAAAGCACGATTAAGTAGCTTGTTTACAGAATTGCAGCAAGATCTGATAAGAATTATTTTTTTTTTAGTGTCTTTAACTAGCAAAGAGTTCTAGCTCCACAGGACTTAATGAGCTAAAAAGTCTAAGATTCAAGATGAAGAAGAGAGATAAAGGCAGTTAGAGCAGGCAGAATGAAGACAACACATCTGCTCAGTAATTAAAGCTCTATTCCAAGGGGAAAACTTTAAGACAGAATAAGCCCAACTGAAAGAGAAGTAACAACAGAACATCAAAAGACTGAAAAGATGAGGGGCAGGTCAAGAAAGAAAGATAGAGCAAAGCAGAAAGAGGTATCATAGGAGAAGGGAGACATACAGCCCCTCCACCACCTGATGGTGTTGGGTTGACGGTTGGACTTGATGATCTTAGAGGTCTTTTCCAACCTTAATGATTCTATGATTCTTTGCAGATCATCTTTGAATGACCACAGGCCCCTGAAGCACCAGGCTGGTTCTCCAGGCTATTTCCCACCACTGCCACATGATGGAGGGAAGGCCCATCTGGGCCGGACAGCTGGATATGGATCAAACAGCTGTTAGGTTCCAGTCAAACCCTGTTTAAACTCCTTGTTTCTTTGCATAGAACTGGCTACTTTCACTGTTTCCATCATATAAAAACTAGCAGAGGAGTTATTCTCGTGCAAACATATTCACGGTATTAGACCAACACTGCATTACAAGCTTAAGAAGAATGGAGAGGATGCTCTCAGACAATCAGAATGCAGATACATATATCTAATAATATATTAACACCATCTAGTCACAAAAATTGTTTTCGTACTGGGTTAGGGAACACATTAAGAACAGCTGATCTGAGCTGTGCTACGTTAACGCTATCCTTGTTTTTCTTAATTTAATACTTTTTGAAGCCACAAAATACAAAGGTGCATTTCTCTCTAAAACATCTGTGTCAGGAACTACTTAAAGTTCACAGAAAATTGTCATAATTCCAAGTAAATCTCATGTCCACAGCCAAGACCCAATTTCCAACTATAAACACAGGAAGTGGTCATAAAACAGCTGAGGACCAAGTGCCAGACCTGACATGTACCAAAAATGTTGCTCCTTAGTGAAGTGGGAGCTGGGAGCAGGGTTTGCATCAGGGTAATCTTAGCCAGAAGGCTCCAGCATTAGGAATAAGGATCAAATCTGTCTCAGTATATAAATCAAAGTCAAACATCTGTGGCGTCCTGAGATGTTCAAACACTGCATGGCAATGCACAAAACCAGAACAGCTGCTTAAGGGTGGAGGACAGCTTTTATAAATGAGCAGTCTCCCATACTCTCCATGCTCCGTAACAAGGACTTTCAGGAATGTGCTTCTCTCCTCTGCCGTTCCTCCTCTCCTCCCCTTCCCCAAAACACAGTTCAGTTTGCTAGATACAGCTTCCTCTACAGCCATAGCTGCAATGCAGGAGGAATATAGGAGATGAGAAGGAAACTCCCAAAACACAGTTCAGTTTGCTAGATACAGCTTCCTCTACAGCCATAGCTGCAATGCAGGAGGAATATAGGAGATGATGGAAGGAAACTCAAGACTTGACTTAGCTGCCTTTTTAAATGAGGATAATGTCACCCGTTACCTAGCCCAGCATACAATGAAGGAAAGCTGAACTCTCTGGTGTCCATCACGGCACTCCCCTTAAGTGACCAGCGAAAGACTTGCTTCCAGGTTAAGGTACTACGGAACTCCAAAAATCCCAGAAACCAAACAGAAAGATGACAGCTAAACTCTCCTCTAGAAAGAGAATCGGTCACTCTTCGGCCACGAGCTGCAGACATGTGCTAAGGAAGTAACTTAGCCTGAACTAAACCACTGCACGCTGCCAACCATAATGCCAAGCACACTGTGGCCACAGACAAGGGTCTGCTTGGCCTGTTTACTCTTACAGTGTAAAAAGTGGCAGTGGTCAACACTTTTAAAGTCAGCTATTCTTCAAACGATATCTAACTGCCATCGAAGCCACATCCTGCCTTTAGTCTTTCACTCATTCATCATGTTCTAGCTTGCATTTTTAGACTGCGTTCCTGAAAGTGAGGAGGCTGGAATCAGTAGTCATTATAAATTAGATGCTGACAAACAACAAATTGGAGAAGTCAAAGCTGCTATGGATAATTAACAATTAATTATCGTTAATTCTAGAATTAACATGTCCCACTATAAAAAAAAATTCAAAAGAATAAAAGCCCATTAATAAAATATTTTTCCACAGTTTGGTGGGTTTTGTTAAATTTTAATTGAGGAAAGCTTAAAGCCTAAATCTTAGATTCACCTCTTGAATATACTTTCAGAAGAATAGGAACAAGTACACAAAATCAACTGCTATTCAGACTGGGACTTCTCAATACATTCATGTATTTGGACTCACAAAATGGGAATAACAGATTCTCACCATCACAATTTCAATAATATTACTGCTAAAGTCTTGTCTTCAAATCTTGGAAAGACACAGCTCTCCCACTTGCACATATTCTGTGCAGAATAGCCCCTTAATGCGCAACTTTGACTCCACTGCAGATAACATGTCCTTTCAACTAACATCCACTACAGTTCAACAGTATAAAGTTGACGTGCAAGACTAGCCACAAATTATCAACAGCTAAATCGAAGTATTTGAGTACACATATTCAAGTATGACTACATTCACATTTTCTTTCATTTACTGCAGTATAATTTCATGAGACTGGCTGTATATCAGAAGACTAAATAAAGAAGCATTACCACGCTCCACTGCCAGTGGAGAACAATTCAGCCATTCAGCCTCGGAGGGACAGAGAACATGGAACGTGAACCAACAAGCACACGGTACTGTGATTAACTCTACTTTGTCCTCTTCAGTTGCATTTCATTTTAAACTTTAAGAACATCAGGAAAACTGAAAAGCAGTTACAAAGATATGTACTGCTCACTAATTGCTGGATAAAGCTGGTTCGTAACTGCCTAAAGTAAAAGGAAATGATCATTCTAACTCTCATGTTAAATACAAACCCAATACAGACACTAGTAGACATTAGCTGCAAGCTATCTGTGCATCCCACAGCAGTATCACAGCTCTAGATGTGTGTAAAAATCAAACCATATCAAAATTACCAAGCACTCACACTATAGCTTTATGTGATACCAGACCTAGGTTTCAACCTGTGCTGCCCAGATTCAGATGAAAAGGCCAGCAAGACAGTGACTTCTAATGCTTTTGATCCCAATTATCAGACTGAAACAAAATCAGCAGTGGAGTTGCTCATGGACCACTCCTGACAGTGATTGTATTCAGCATCCT